CCTTTACCCCCAATCCTTATGACCCTCCTATAAATTTAAGAATGTGACTACACGATCAAATACCACAGGATTTGCTCCACTTTATAAAATAGGTGAATCTGAAGGGTTTTTTAAAAGCTGATTTCATGACATAAAGGATGATTCCAATTATTCCCCCCTCTTTTTTTTTGCTCCCAAAGCAGCTTTTTTTTTCTTTGCTGCTGGAGGACGTCTACTTTTTCAAGGTAGAACAATTCGAACAGGCTTTTCCCCATTCAGGTTGTGATACGTCCTTGTAACGACAGGGGAATGTCTATAGGTGGTGTTTCAGTGACACAGGCAGTTGGGCCATGATGGTCAGGCCCAGGGGAGACATGCAAAAGCTAAGCACCATGATTTTAATGTCCTAGTCCTGAATCCTGTCAAATACACTAAGCTTCAGAGTGTGTGGGAAGGCCCTTTCATTCTGAAGCAGAAGCTTAGTGTTTTTAATTACTTAACTGACAGGTCAGAAAGTGGATTTAAAAAGTTTATCATGCCAATAGTTTAAAGCCATATGTGACCAGAGATGAGGTAATCCTTGCATGTATTACTTGAAAGTAAGGGGAAAGAGTAATGTATAGGAAAGGGAAGGTGATGAATTATCCTAGCATGAGAATTATGATGTATTTTTAAAAATTACTTTTCAAACTTTTGATGTTCTGTACTCTTAGACTTTTAAGTACCTTTCTAGGTTATCTTTCTAAAGAAAAGTTTCTGAAAAATGTAGTAGTCTGAAGTGTTAAATGAGAAAGCAGCTTCATAGTGAACCATAAAGGGATCACAGAGGCAGGATCAGAGGAAGGAAGGAAGGAAAGAAGGGAGGCTGTGGCGGGAATGCAATTTACATTGTAACAAGTATGAAGGCTGAACTCCCAAATTAATCTGCAGCCCCTCTATGAGCACTGATTGCAAGTTCAAACATAATACTGATTGTAAATCAAATTGCAGTCTCTGTAGGTTGTGTAGACTACAAATCTGGTGCAGTTGCACCCTTATGAAACTATATAATCTCGTGTCTCCTCCTTCTCTATTGTCTTCACTGTGTCAAATTATAAAGTGTCTCAAAATTCCTCCAGAGTTACGCACATTAAGCAGACTTCCATTTATCTGATTAATTTATTGTCCTTGAGGGAGTGAATGAAGAAGCTATACACAATCTGAAACTCATGAAATCTTTCTCTATCCCAAAATCTAACTACTGTACATGAAATGGAAGAAATGCAGGAAATACTATAGGTTTGGGGTGGGCTGATTCACACACACACACCCTTGATTACATGGTGCAATGGAAAATGTGAATCAGCCTGGAGTCCCATATAGTCCCAATCTGTAGCTTTTCCTCCCCACCAGAGACCCATGTACTTTTTAAAAAAAGTGTTTGATTGCTTACTGAGCAGATGCATGCACAGTGGTGCTTCAGCAAAGCACCTTCCCTCTTACTTCTTACCTCACAAAGGAGGATGAGGAGTGTGTGTGTGCACACACAAGCAATACTAGCACTCATCTCTCTACATAAATCCTTTCTCCCAAGACACTTCTCATATTTAGTTTCTCCTGGATGGGCTGAGTTCCTGTTTGTTTGTTTATTTGTTCTTTATAGTTTAACGAGCTCTTTAAGATGATGAAATAGTCACTGAGGCAGGAAAACCCTTCTCAAGGCAGTTCCTTTGAACCAAGCCATCTATGGGTGCTTCAATAGAACTTCAATTAGAAGGCTTTTAGTCTTCTGCCTGTGTGGTCACTTGTTGAAGAGAATGGAATCCCTTGGTGTTACCTCACAGATAGAGAATGCAAGTTAATTTACATTTCCATCACTATTTAGTCACATCTTATTTGACCTGAGAATACATTAGACACAAATCTAATTTTTATTTGACACATATGATCTAGAAACCTGGCTTGTATGTGTGTGTGGTTTTTGAGTTTCTTAGAATGTGAAATTCTGTCCACCAAATAATAGCTCCTATGTCTGTCAGATGTAAATACAGACATTAGCAGGGAAAGTCTGTTTTCTAGAGAAATGCAAGTAGTTAGCAGAAGCGGCATCTTCAGGATTTCCATTCAAGACCATTCCTGGCTTGTGTGCACCATTCTTTATGGCAAAGATGGATAACCTGTAGACCTTAGCCAAATGTCAAAAGCTTTCTACAAGCAATCAGGCCTTTAGCAAGAATGACCTGTCTTTTCCCCTAGGAGTCTGTCAGCTTGCTCACTGGATTAGAATGAAATGGTGGACAGAGAGCGAAAAGAGAATAGTAAAAGCAGAGCGAAAAAACAGATACCTCAACATTTGACTTATTTACCACTATTTGCACTCAGCAGAATTGTCCCTAAGGAGTTACCAAAGGGTAGACTCTTTTTTTAGTTTGTTGCAGCAAAGACAACAAAGAGTCTTACGGTATCTTAAAGACGAAATTGTTCGATTTGGAAATGAGCTTTCATGGACTCCAGTCAACCTGAAGAAGTGGCTGCAGTCCAATCTACCAGGTTTTATTTGACATAAATGTTAATGTGGACGGCAACTCAAATAAAACCTGGTAGATTTCAAGACACCTCAGGATTCCTTGTTGTTTCCCTTAATGAATGAGGCCCGGATGGTGGTGGGAGGTGGAGAAAAGGTGCCTCATCCCTGGTGCCTTACAGTCTGAACAGAAAAAGGGTTATGTTTCAGCACCAGGGCTAATGGACCAGAGATGGTTCACCTGTGTCTCATCACTTCGTATACAGAGGCTGATATGCTTGGTGGAAGAACAGTCTCCCATACTCCTCACTAGCCTATAATTTCCTACAGACTACCACAGCCTTGGAAAGGAAGAGAAGCTGCTCTATAAGCCAGAATTGTTGTCTCCTACTTGTTCTCCTTTTGCTTTTTCTATCTCACTCTTGGGGTCTCTCAAAACTCCAGGGTGTATGAGGGTATGTATATGTAACACACACATGCAGGCCTGAGCATGGAGAGTACAAAAAAGGCTAGGAAAAAGAGAGAGGAAAACCACCCTGTCTGCACAACTCTGCGGCCAACCAATGGATTAACTCTCTTTAAGTAAAACTGGGTAGGTAGAAAGTGCTAATGATAATTGGGTAACAAGAGATTTTTTTCCCCCCAGCCTTCCAAAAAAAAGCTTCTGTGTGACAATGGCAGCTTGCTGCAGGAGGAGCTAACAATACAAAGCTACTGTACATGTCTTCTGGCTTTGAAAAACCTGCTCCAGCATCTTGGGCACAAAATGAAAGACCCACAGACAGAAGACACACTAAGTGCAGCTGAGGGCCTCTGCAGCAGTGCTCTCCCTTGGCCTCAGTATGCCCATATATGTAACCAAATAAGTGTGCCTCGTTCCCAGCCTGGCACTGAAGCTTTGCCAAAATGGCAGCCCCTAGACTCAGCACACGCTAGATTTTTTTTTGGACAAAGCCTCCACTCTGCCAACTCCAATTAAACAAAGGCTACTTAACCTTACAGGATTACAGACTCTACTGAGATTTCAAGGCAGTAAAACTGAGAACGCCAACCCTAACCTCCCCCCTCCTGCTATAAAAACGTATCCGGAGCTGCCCACTGTTACTATTAGACACCTCCTCCAGCTTCTTATTAAAGACCATTCAAAGAGCATACAAAGGGGCTTGCATCCTCAATGGATAAAGTCAAAAGAAAGGGAAGTGAGCTTGGATGGTGAATCCCTGCTTTAACACCACCCTTCCCTACAGCAGGAAACAACTGCCCGGCTCCAAGAGAACAGAAAACAGAACATGGTACCTGCAGTTCATTTACACTTGACATGATGTGTGTGTGCACACACAATGGGCAGGAAGCATTTGCTAAGCAAGGGGTGTGTGTGGTGGATATGAAACAGCCCTGCAATTCACAGAAGGCACAGTACAGATCCTCAACCCCACCCTAAATGAAAGAAAGGGGATGCTCAAAGGATATCATTCACCTACATATGACAGATTAAACCAGAAACACTGGCATAGGAAAAATGAAGTGACAGCCAAAGAAAACAGATTTTTTTTTGTTAGAGGAAGATAAGAGATGAACAAGGGAAAGGAACCAGACTGCCTGTACGGAAACCTGACAGCAATGGATATATCAGAAATATCAATAAAGGGGAGAAACAGAGTTCACACAATCATAGAGAAATAACTGAAAGAAAGCATAATGTACAGCATAGATGAGAAATACAGGATTTCCTTGTTTCTCTTGCTCTGGTTACTGCCAGCTACAGGAAAAAAGAGGGGAGCAAGCCCCAGTTTCCTCAGAGAGACAAATACTATGATCTCCCACGCACACACACTATATGTACTTATAGGGAACAAGCAGGACAGTGGTTTCAATGGAATGAAATAGGAAAAGGGCTTCATAAGAAGGTATTTAGGCTTTAGCTCACAAAGGAAGTGGAGAAAGGAAAAAGGAAGAGGATAAGAAGAGAGAAAGAGATGTCATTCCCAGTAATGACCAGAGTATTGTGGTTGATCACATGCACAAACACACAGGCAGCGGGATTCCAGCAACCGGACGCTTCAGTCCCACGCTGCCTGACCTTCTGCAGAGAAAACAAAGAGGAGCACCGCTGATCGGAGGATGGACAGACAGACAGACAGAAAAAAGCACAGCGACCCAGACGTAATCTTCACCGCAAGCGGTAAAGCTCACACGCCCCTCCGCGCAGAGAGGAGACGCCTCTCTCACAAGGACACCCACCCGGCACTCCTGCGTAAAGCAAAACGCGGGTCTGCAGCCAGGACAGGGTAGCCGCTGTAGGCAGACAGCCCATCCCCCCCTTTCCAAAACATGCACAATCCACCCCCTAACCCCAAGACGCGCCGGAGCTCAATGAATGGAGCGGGTGCCTGTGTATGTGCGCGCGGCAGCGGCGCGAAGGAAACCCCTTTGTCTACCCCGCTGCATCCACCTGCGACCAAATCCTTCCCTCCCTCCCTCTCCCCGCCCCCTCGAGGGAAAGACTCGGTTAACTCACCTCACTGCCACCTTGACGCTGCAGTTGTCCCCCAGGGCGGCCATGCCCTCCTCCTCCTCTTTTTCTTCTTCCTCCTCCTCCTCCTCCGCCGCCGCCGCCTCCCCGCGCCGCAGCAGAGCGCTGCCCCTCAACCACCATGGAGCACCGTGGGGCCGGGCAGGGCCAAGACGAGGCTGCGGCTCGGCTACGAGCACGAGGCTCCGGGGCAGCCTAGGGCGAGCGAGGACATGCCGAGCTTCTGCAGCCGCGCGCTCGCCCGGTCTTCCTGCCTGGGGCGAAGAGGCGGAGGCGGCGTGAGGTAGACTCCAGAGCGCCTTCCCTCTACCCTGCCCACCCCGCGGCGGTAACGGGACTGTCGAGGCTCGCTGCGAACGAAGCGCCAGCCGCCCAGCACAGGAGGCGGGGAGAGATGCAGGAGGAGGAGGCGCGCTAGAAACGTGGCCCTCCCACCCTCCAGGAAAAAAAAAAGGTGCAGACTGGATTTGGGAAGGAAGAAGAAGGGGAGAGTGCGGAGGTCGCTTTGCCGAACTGTTCGGAGGCAAAACCGAGCATGAGTTTTATGGCACCGGGGTTTTGTTTGGCGCGAGCCTTCGTGGCCCGGTGGAGCCACGAAGCTGGAGCCCACAGAAGCTTTGGACACGTTAGTGTTTCATGTGTCACAAGGCTCGTGGAAAGTGAAAGAGCGCAACCTGGCTCGTCCGCTGAAAGGCGCCGCCACTTTGCCTCAGGTGAGACGCAGACAATAGCAGGAATGGGCCCCAAGGACCCGCCCTCCATGTTCGATATCCAGCCCTAGAAAAGAAAGAGCGCGCGAACAGAGCGTGGCTGGGCATATCCAGACTGCCTTTTGCTGCTTACAAGCCAGCTGTAGAATAATAGGCCCGGAGGAGATATCCCATCATCCACTACATTAGGGGCTGCTAGGCGTAGTACTTTGAAGACGTGTGACATGAAAGCAGGCTGCAGCATAAGGTTCTCATGTTGGCCTCTGATGACCGTGTAGAAAGGAAGAATACAGTTATCCCTTTAGCGCCTCTATTCGAATAAGACATCAATCCTGTCTAGCTTGACCCGGGGGTGTAATTCGGTGATGGTGCTGTTAAGGTGCAGGGAAGCCCCTAAGCCGAGTCGTTGTTGTGTTTTTAAAATGAGGCTAGCGGCTACAGTATACTGTACAGCTTTAGGAGGTTGAGAAGGATTCTTTTGTGCCCCCTACTGGGTAGGCGTTGCTTACATTGCACCTATAGGGTTGATACTTTCCTGTGAGGAAAAAGTGGAGGAGAATGGAGGCTGGAGCTGGACTTTAACTCCCACAGTACCCTTCTATTGAGATATGGAGACAAAGAGCCAGTGGGGTCTTGGGGCTGGAGGGTTGGGCCAAGACTCAGGAGAGCTGGGTTCACATGGGTAACAGTGGGACACAGTCTCTCAGGCTGCCCTACCTGGCAAAGTGGTTGTGAAGATAGAGAAGGAAGGAGCCGATGACTGCAGGGGAAGTGAGCTCCTTTCAGAAGAATGCAATATAAATGTCACAAATACATTAAAAAAAACACAAAGAGAACTCTTATGTATTGTATACTTAATGCTGTTTTCATGGACAGTGTAATCCTTTAGAAACCAACATGTCTATGGATGAAGCTAGGAAGAGGCTCATCCATGACGGTCAAAGGAACAACACCAGTAGCACACCTGACAGTAAGTAATGGCAGGAGAACAGAGGACCAAAGGGTGCTGCAAAGGCAATGAAGCTTTCAGCGGCTATAGCTGCCTACTTTCTACATGGTGGCAACATAGAAACTTCTATCATTTCTCGTATTCATATTAATGGATGCTTATAGAAAGGGAAGGCATAGGTAAGAAGTGGTGGAATTCTAACTTGGAAAAAGGTGAGTCCTGTTAACGATAAAACATCTTCCCCTCACTATTAACTTCCGTGTCTACCGTTACCATCAAATTGAACAGCTCCTCCACATCAAAAAAACATTACATCAAATTGTACTTCTTCAAAGGCCATGCTGCAGTATGAAGGTCCCACAGAGGTGTTCTGAAACCTGAACTAGTCTAGATAATATTATGCTTGCATGGACATTTATTTTTTCAAATTAAAAAGTCAAAGACAAAGATCAGTGTTCTGATTATTCTGTTTTAGATTGCACTATGAAGCTTTAGCTTAAGGGTTATATTCTAAGAAGTGAACATATATAACAAGTCAAACCTTGAGACCTTATAACAATAACGTCTGCATAGGCTGGTACTAGTAATTATTATCAAAAGGTAGGATTTATGGCTTGAATTCTGTCCCTGATGGTGCCAGCAGTTGGCAGCTAGGACACGGGATTCCTGGATGTTGGTGCTTAATAGGATAGATTAGTAAATTCAGCGGTGTGCTTTTTTTTTACTTAACTCCTGAAGCAATAGCCCAAACCCACTGACTCTGTGCTCAGCTGTGCGGCAGTCAGGACTGGACCAATGCATTTTGACCAGTGCCTAAGATGAATCAGTAGATATTCTGTCCCACACAAATCAAAGTGCCTAGTACGACTGAGTCATTTGTATACATGGAGCAGAAAATCAGATTCTTCCTATTCCTAAATTAAATGATAAAAGTCTGCTGCCTTAACATCCTGTTGAAAATCTGTTGCCTGAGGGAGCTACTTCACTCTGCCTAATGGCAGGGCCAGTCATGTGTTGATCTTAATGCATCTAGCATAGGCATCCTTCAGTCTCGAGAGACTATGGTAACATGCTCTGAATCAAGGAGTGTTCTCTCCAGAGCATGAAGCCTGTGTAAAGTAATATGGAGGATAGGCTGTTACCCAAGCAGCAAATTCCCCCTCTCCACGCTGCTGAAATGGCCCAATGGAAAGGCAAGAGCCAATACAACTGGTTCTAGCAACGTCGCAGGAGTTGGCAGAATGACACGAACTGCCTTCGGGACTCCAGCTCTGGATTTTGCCTCTAGGGTAACTCCTGAAGCCTTTTTTATCAGTGGATATAGCCACAAGGCAGTGGAGGTTTGAAATTGCAGTTTTCCTTCTCTTAGATGGGCTGCCTTCCATGGCTGATGAGCCCCACCTACCCAGCTTAATGCATCACAAGTTACAGTAACTGAAGCTTCTCGTGCTCTTCATTCTGGTCTTGTCATCTGTTCTTGTACAACAGTTAGAACTGTATTTAGTTGTGGGTAGTGGGAGAAATGGGCAGGCGACAGGACTAGAAAATAGATGAGAAAAGACAAGACTGCTTCATCTGAGAGAGGGAGAGGGAGAGACGTATCTATCATCCAGGATGAATCTTGGCAAATCTCTTTGTGTATATGAATGCTGTGTGTCTTCTTTGTTGCATAACGCAGCACAAAAGATTGTGATTGAAGAGTTCCTGGTGAGTATTCTCATTATTAAAAGCTTGAAGCTCTCTGTGGTATACTTCTATGTAAGATGTTATAAATAATTTATTTCAAGAAGTTGTATTGGCTGGATTAAAAATTGCCCTGCTGGTTGCTTTAGCCTGTTATCTTGTAAGCAATATTGCAGGAACTGCGAAGATTTCAGTTTATGATGTCCATTACTCAGGTGTCTGAACTGTTTATGTTACTTGCTGATAGTAAGTAACATAAACATAACTTTCAAATTTAAATAATGAGCTTTTTATACTGATGACTAACAGAAAGCCCTTGTAAGATCCTGTGTTAATCAGGACCAGCATCCTAAAGGGGACTGCTACTGATTGCCTGACCAGGACAGCTGCAGTTGGCAATTTGAGGTCTTGAAAATGAATTTGGATTTCAGTTCCCATCTTCTGTAAAGAAGTAAAGAGCAGGACAATCTCCTTGCAAAATCAGAGTTCCAGTTCACACAAATAATTCCTATGAATAGTGGAGGTCGTCCTGCTCAGACTCAAAGTCATCTATGAGTTCAGGGTGACAAAACCAGAGAGAAGAGGAGAGCAGGATGAGAATATTCTCATAGTACATGTGTTGAATATCCCCTGATATGAATGCCTGAATAGGGCTCCTGTTTCAAGAATGTGTTAATATTGGGTATTTCAGTGTATCATTTAGTGGATTTGTTCTGATCTTAGCAGCTATGAGAATTAGCACCTTTTGCTCACTTTTATTAATCTCATCTGGTGATGATTTTAATGCTGCAAGTCAATTACATTGGCCCCTCAGGATTATATTCCAGACTGAGAGAGGCAAGACATAAGGCTTAATGGCAAAGAGAATTTGCATAAAAGTCAGGTTAATTGGCATTTGGGAGATCATATCATAGTGCTTATATAGCAATCAGAAAATGCTAAGAAAAAACCCTCTAACAGTTTACATGTTTGTTGCTTCTAATTATAAATTCTGTGCTTCTACATTAATAACCTTAGTCAACATGTGACAGAAATATTTTACAAGTTACACACATTATATATGATGTATTAGTCAGTGCTTCATAATTACTAACTGTCTGATGGGTGGAATCCATCAATTTTATTGCATTGGGTGACACCAACCCTTTCCTGCTTGTTTAAAAATGCCTTTTCTGGGCTGCTGAATTCAGCATTTGGAGTGCTGTATGCCAGGTGGCAAGAATACTCAACAATGGAGCAGTTGATCATTTTCATATCTCTGAATGATAATTAGATGTCAACATAGATCTTCTCAGTGAAGTCTCTGAGTGGGCTGCATGTTGGCTTGTTTTCCAGTTTTGGTCACAGTGTTGGTTCTGCGCAACTGTGCTAGGAGTCTGTTTGACCTTAAGAATCAGTTGAGAGGAAAACAACTTGGCAGCCTTTGGGGCAGGAATGACTTTGACAAGTCAAAAGAGAAAATTTGAGCATCATTTGCCTTGACATAAAGAGCAGCATTGATTGATTAATCAATGGGCTTACTGAGAAACCCATTTTCTACCTTACCCTTAGCCCCCAAACATAACTTTTTAATGTATATTTATTTGATAGCAGTTACTAAAAGCTTTCCAGTGCAAATTCAGACTGACAAATTGATTCTTTCTTCTAAAGTCATGTCATCTCCATTGTATTATTGGATCAATTTTCTGTGTACCTCTCCTTACATAACCAAAGCAGGGCCTTCCGTGGACAAGAAAAAGACTGAGTAGGTGTGGAGAAGTCCAGGGAACTAAGCAGCATCTCATTCAAACTATTTTTGGATGCACTTAGAGGTAGAGTTAATCATTTTCACACACAAAAAAAAACCAAGAGTGACTTGGGGTGCGATCAGACGGGCATTTGGCCTGCTGTTTGGTCCACTGCGGGGAAAGGCTGGTTTGCTCTTTATGCCAGTGATCAGATGATGTAATTGCTAGGGGGAAAAACAGTCCATCCCTAGAGCATTCCTATCTGCACCTTTCTGGATCCCTGTCAGAGACTACTCTTTTTTGGGTACAGGTAGGATCACTCCATTTTGGTTCACTTCCAGTGCATGCAGCTGTTGGGATCAAACCATAACAGAGCTTGTGGCTTTAAATTTCCTTTCCACTTTCAATTTCCCAATATTGTTAAATGTCTTAAGAAGACAGTTTTGCACTTCACAATGTTGGGAAATTAAACACTTCCTCTGCTCCTCCATGTAGGGGCAAGGGAAGGAAGAAAAAATGTATGTTTATTAGGAGATATAGTGCTATTTACAAATACAGATTATTCTTTAATTGTTCTAGTACTTTGTCAAGACTTGGAAGTTATGCTGACTGCTTAATTATCATAATCCCTTTTAGTCTGGGTTCAGACATGATTTGTAGACAGAAACAACCTTTTAGGTTATATAACAGGAGAGGGTGCAAAGTTTTTAAAACTAGCAGATTTCTTTCACTTGGTGTGAGATTTTGGGGATTACTGTACAATTCTGATTTTAGGACAGAAACAATTTTTATAGATTATATAACATGGGACTTGTAAAGTCTTTGAAACTAACAGATTTCTTTTATTGGTTTGTGATTTTGGGGACTACAGGCCATTTCTACAGAAAAGTAACCATTCTGGGGATTAATCATCTACAATTATTCAGGTTATACATGCCAGAGGGTAAACAGTGTGAGTGATTCCCCATTGATTTTACTGAACTGCTTAGTTTCAGGTATTCATTAGCAATTGTCATCATGATATCCTTCTGGGAAGCCATCCTAGTATGAGACTTGAGGCACCAAATTGCAATGGTTCTAGTTTATTGAGAAAGCATATCCTGCTTGTCTGAACAATATGAGGAACAAGCTTTGAAACAGACCTGTGGTCCTTTAGGTTGAGGACTGGTTTGGGAGAGGAGATCTGAGTGTTCTGTTTTTTCTCTCTCCAGGCTGTAAAGCTTACTGGGCAATCTTGGCCCTGTCACTATTGCTTATAACTATTTTGAAGTCTGGAACTCTTTGAAAGAAAGATAAGATTTTTAAAAATGTGATGTAAGTAACAAAGTGATGTAGTTTAAGCAAATATTGTAGACATTGTCTGGAATCCTTTTCGCAGAGCTGTGGAGTTATAATGACATCATCAGCCGCAGAGGTAAATATTTAATTAAACTTTTTCAGTCTCCTTCCTCAGGTTCTAAGGCTCCCTGAGGTCCTCTTTTGACCTGAGGAAGCCTTCGGGAAGATGGGAGAGAAGCCCATTTGATATCCATAAATTGCAGTTTATGATCTCAATCCTAAAGCAGGGGGATTAAAAACTTCTTTCCTATCCCGAGACTCCCAAAGGCTGTGCTTCCTCAGGTTGTTTCAGAGCAGATGACTGATGTTGTGTGTTGTCCTCCAGGTTCAGGCCATAAGGGTTGTTTCTTTCTTTTCCTCTTGGAATCTGAGGGGCAAAATTGTTGTTTAGTCATTACGTCATGTCCGATTCTTCGAGACCCCATGGACCAGAGCACGCCAGGCCCTCCTGTCTTCCACTGCCTCTCAGAGTTCGGTCAAATTCATGTTGGCAGCTTCAACGACACTGTCCATCCATCTTGTCCTCTGTCGTCCCCTTCTCCTCTTGCCTTCACACTTTCCCAACGAGAGAGAGAGAAAAGTGTTATGGTGGAACTAAATTTGGTTATGATCACATCAGCTGTAATATTTATTTATTTGACTAATTTATATAATATTAAGTGGCTAACAATAATTCACATTAAAACATGAAAATATGGAACGTGTTTCATAGAAATATAGAATATCAGCAGGGGGATTCTAGGAGATTGGCTTGTAGTTCAAACAAGCAAGATATTGAAACTCTGGGAAAGACAACTAAATTTAGCTATGTTCATTTGAGTAAATTTGCTGTTGTTGGTACAAGCTATACTTAGATTTTGTAATTTAGAAAATTATATTCTAAAGATAATTCTAACTTGAGCCCTTCAGCCAAGCTTGTTCATCTGGGAATTCCCAATAATGATTATTAGGATAAAACATTCTGCTTGAACACTCTTTTAGTTGCACTGGAACAGGGGACTGAGATGATTTTATGTACAGGGCCTTCATCTGGAGCAGGATTCTTGACTGATGCAAAATGAGTAAGAATGTACTGTAGCTTACATTCTGTAATCTGTGGGAGAGAAAAGTATTTTCCCCTTAGACTGTTTGGGGTGGTAGAGAGCAAATAAACGTGTGTATTTATTGCCTAGCTGTGCATGGTTGTACTGACCTTCTGGGCTCTGAGGGAATATCCTATGGCAGATGCTGTCAAAATATTCTGTGTTACTACATGAAATGGAGGACTGGCGTGGGATATGGCATGCAGAAAGAGAAGCTTACATCCAAAGTGAGATGTCTTTTCCTGGGAAGGTGAAGGAAAATCTGTCCATTTTTCTTTATCCTGCATTTACATTTTTTAAAACGTATCCTACTCTAAATATAGAGGAAATGCTTCTTTTTTTGCGATGTTTTCCAAAAAGTGTTTTATCTAAACACAATTCTCACGCATTCCTCACTATAGATGAGAATTTCCTGTTATCAGGGAATCGGGTTGCAGTGGTCTTCTCTGATTGTCCTCTTCTTGTCTGATTGCCAAAACCAGAGTAAATTAGGACATTTTTCAATTGGCTACAACCTTGCTTAAGTTATGTAATATATGATGGTAATAGGTTTCAGCAATGCACATTAAACATGCATGTACAAAACATGAATGGGACAAAATAAAGGTGTTGTTAAAGCATTTTAGCAGTTTAAACTAATGAGTACTATTATATGTTTAGTTGTTTAAAAAGGAAATAATTAAATGAAAAGGACTAGGATTCTAATATAGGCAAAGTTGAAAATAGGCTTGTGCGATATACACTTTTTTTGTGCTGCAAGGCAGAAAGGATGAAGCTGGTGATGAAGGGAAAAGAAAGATGAAGACACAAGGCATGGTTGTGGGGTGTGCGTCTATTCAGAGGCTGTTGAACTGCAACCTTATTCATTCCTTATGGAGTGGTGTTAACTAGGCACTCAGGGTTGATTTCCTTCAAAATGGATAGGTTTGTTCTCCTTGCAGTCCAGGGGACTCTCAAGAGTCTCCTCTAGCACCATGATTCAAAAGCATCAGTTCTTTGGCGGTCAGCCTTCTTTATGGTCCACCTCTCATTTCCATACATCGCATTTCATTTCACTTCTCTTCTATGCTATTTGTAAGGCCTCGTTGGACAGCCACTTTGCTTTCCTTTTCTTTGGGATGTTTTTGTTGCTGCCTCTTGTACAATGTTATGAGCCTCCATCCATAGTTTTTCAGGCACTCTGTCCACCAAATCTAGTTCCTTAAATCTGTTTTGCACTTCCACTGTGTATTCACAAGTGGTGACTAGCCCAGTGGTTTTTCCTAGTTTTTTCAGTTTAAGCTTGAGTCTTGCTATAAGAAGCTGATGATCAGAGCCCCAATCATCTCCAGGCCTTGTTTTTGCTTACTTTATAGAGCTTCTCCATCTTTGGCTGCAGAGAACATAATCAATCTGATTTCGATATTGCCTTTTTGGTGCTGTCCATGTGTAGAGTTGCCTCTTGTGTTGTTGGAAAAGAGTGTTTGTGATGACCAGCTTGTTCTCTTGCCAAAACTCTGTTAGCCTTTGTCCTGCTTCATTTTGAACTCCAAGGCCATACTTACCTGTCATGCCTTTTATCTCTTGACTCCCTACTTTAGCATTCCAGTCCCCTATAATGAGAAGAACATCTTTTTTAAGTGTCATTTCTAGAAGGTGTTGTAAGTCTTCATAGAATTGGTCAATTTCAGCCTCTTCAGCATTGGTGGTTGGTGTATAACCTTGGATTACTGTGATGTTGAAAGGTCTGCCTTGGATTCATACTGAAATCATTCTACTTTAGCTTTTTGTTTCTGTCCATGGAGTTTTCTTGGCAAAGATACTGGAGTGGCTTGGAAGGTCCTGCTCCAGATGGATCACATTTAGTCAGAACTTTCCACTATGACCTGTCCATCTTGGGTGTCCCTGCACGGCATAGGCAATACCTTCTGTGAGTTACTCAAGCCCCTTTGCCACGACAAGGCAGCAATCCATGAAGGGGGAGGGGCGAAATAAAAAACATTATATTAAAAATTAAAATCTTAGAGGGATTATGTCATCCGTCTTTAAACGTGAGAAGGTAAGCAAAAGGATTCTGGCCACTGACAACAGATGCAATGTTTTGACATTATGAACCTCATGAGACAAGGTGCTGATTCCACACCTAGAAGTGTTGCACCCTTAAGAGGAAATTACTGTAGTCCTATTCGGTTACATAGAATCTAGTGTTTTCATCGCATTTAGAGGGGATGCCTAGCTTTGTCTATGCAAACAGTGACAAGCCTGAAAAGGAGAGGTTCCATCTTGCAGGTAGGCTCTACATGTAAAACAGAACCCTGGAAAATTTAGGTTCTTGCCAATATGTAGAGCCTAATGCAAGTAGGAACTTCTCCTCTCCTGAGTCATGTGGAAAAAAGGAAGATGGAGCTAGGCACTTGCTCTAACCATGGTGACAATGCAGGGTTCTGAAGCAACTGAACATGGCTAGCCTGTTTCAGCACACTTTAGTATGCATTTGGCAAATTAGTCTATTTTTGTTTCATAAGGGACCAAGTGGGGAATGATGTGGCTCTGTTTATATGACTGATGTCTTAGGAAGAGTGCTGGAAAATTTGCATGATGAGAGAGATAACATTATAAGAGGAAGAAATATGTGTTCGTTTGAATATGTGATCTGACCCGAAATCCCATTTCCATGGAAAACAGTGGCAACTGAATTTGTGTATCCAACAGATACAAAATATTTTCAGATGCAAAAATGGCATCTCTGTTTAGCAACTGTTGTCAAAATTGCCACATTGACTGGCCATTAAGTGTGATGCAAACATTTTCTCTGTAATAGGACAGAACAGAAAGCTTATCTCAGATAAATAATAAATACAAAGAAGCTATTCCACCTCTTTTGGTGCGTGTGTATCTACCTTTTGTAGCACGTTAGCTTATCGCAAAGCTTCAAAACATTACTTTTTGTATACAGCTCCTAGAATCCCCTAGCTACCTGGTTGGAAGTATGTGTACATTGTAGTCCAAAGATTTTAGGTTTCTAAGCTCTAATCTGTTGTACATCAGAATAGGGCATATAGAGAGTTTGTTTCTTACCAACAAAAGACAACAGGAGCCAGTGCAAAGGACTTCCCAGGAAGGCAGTTGCTTACTTCTGTGAATGGCTTGTCTCTGTCTGTCCCAAAATGAGATCTAATAATTTTTTTTTCTTTTTGGTGCCAGCTTCAAGGTGAAGATGGTAACTTACAAAGCCCTAAACAATTTGGGACCTTGATACCTCGCAGATGTCCTTCTTCCAGTGTGATCTGCCCGACCTACTCATTCATCCGGTTGAGGACATTGACCCCAAGAGAGGGCCAGAAAGAGATGACCAGGAGCCAGGCCTCCTCAGCAGTTGTGCCACATCTTTGGAGCAAACTCCTGCCCAAGATTCGCACTGATGTCCTTCAGGCAATTTTTGAAAACCTGGCTATTCAGACAAGCATTTCCAGATATTGCACCAACAGAATGCAGAGTTCTTTCTGACCCTTAAACAATCAATTCTGCCATCTTGAGTGTTTTGAATTACATGTTTCCTATGTTATACTGTACTTTTTTTTGCCTTTCTAAGCTTAATTTTTTAATAAATATTTATTTTTGTTTTTATATTATTGTGAGGTTTATGTGGTTATTATTTTATATAGGTATCAATTTTTTATTTTGCCAGAGTGGCCTTGGTAGCCAGCTAGGCAGCATATTAAACAAACAAACAAACAAACCTGCAATTAACATCCCTGTTCTCAAGTCTTTGTTTTATCTCCTGCTCAATAACATACTGTGGGGAAGAAGAACTGATGCAGGAGAAACGACGAACTAAAAAGGCATATACAGTATTTGAAAAAGAGGCGTAGTGGTACTGGTTCTGCAGAGAGGATTCTGCTGTTCATCTGCTGTTCAGAGCATAACTGCAGGAGAGCATGTGGGCTCCTTTTCTTTCCACTTTCCTTCTGCAACTGTTTGCTTCTCTTCCTAACTCTAATTTATAATTAAATGCTTTGACGTGGAAACAATTCCTTGGACAGCTGGGCATGTAACTGCTCATTGCTCCAGGGCCTTCAGAAGGCCAGGCTGGCTGTAATAAGCGTTTGGCCTCCAGAGAGATGAGGATTTCTTTAACTCCCCCCCCCACCATCCTACAGAAAACCTCCCCTTGCTTCTTTTCCACAATGGCTTGGCAGTGTGTGCACACTGCTTTCCAGCAGCCCCATATGCATCCACCCATTCCCTTTTATGAGCTGACAAATAAAAGCCCTGGGAGCAGCCAGGCTCTATTGATTCAGTACCTCCCTAGGGATGCATAATTCCTCAGTATTTTAATATCTATTAATGCTGAGATGAAATCAATGCTGGCTAATGAGATTCTTAGCAGCACAGGATATTTAAAGGAGGTGGGGGAGCCATGGCAGGTGTACTTGACAGTAAGGACACCCTGGAGCTTCTGTTGCCTATTGGGTTTTTTTAAGTTGCTAAGTGATGTGGAAGCAGAAAAGGAGCCTCACCTGCTTTCTGTCCGTAATAACAACAGCTTAATCTGTGTGCATTAATAAGCTGGCTAAGCTTTCCATGACCTTAAGAGAAACATTAATGCTAGCTCGTAGTTGCAGGTCTAGCTACCCTTTAAAGGCACAGAAACAATGGCTGGTTTAAAAAAAGTGGCAATCATTTTATATAGTCAAAGGTAAAAACAGTAATATCATGATATATTTGGAATTACAGAGTGTCATCACGACAGTCGACATAGCAAAACTTGGAAACGCTAATTTTTTCAGATGACAACTCCCATAATGATTATGCCATAATCCCTGTTATCCAGAAAGCCCCAGTGCTTTGACCCTTAAGATGGTCACACCGTTATGCACAAAGGTTATGAGTTCAATTCTCCACTGGGCCTCCTTGACAGGCGCTGGACTCAATGATCCACAAGGTCCCTTTCAGCTCTGCAGTTCTAGCATGATGATGAAAAGCCTGATATATTTTTTCTCTCAAAGTTAAATTTTAAAAAACCAAAAAACCAAAAAACACCCCACATCATGATGCAGTGGACAGAACCTTGGAGTGGGGAATCATCTGTGCTCAACCTTCCCCCCCCCCAACCGTGATGCTAATGAACTTGTGAGCCGATGGGCTTTGTGTATTTTTGTTGTTTTAAGGAATTCAAAGCAGTTCCTGCAACACTGTGCCTTTATAGCACTTGGGTGGTTCTGAATTTCACAGCAGCAGGAACCTTTCTCACCTCTGGAATCATATAACTTATCTTGGTTTGTTTGGTCTTCAGGACCCAAGCATAGAATTCCTCAGAAGTATGATTTCATGAACTGGGTGAGACTTCCCTGCAACATCAGTGTGCCTTCAGGTTTAATCATGGGCCATCTCTAAAATCTGTTTCTGGCCAAAGTCATATATTGCAAGGGAACTTTCAAAAAAGAATGAATCAGGGTTGCAACATCCATTTTCAGATTTCGCTGTGTGTGGAAGGATGAGTGACTGAAAAAAGCAACAGAAGAAGGCAGTGGAGTTGAGGGAGTTGAATGGAGTGCAATAGATGAAAAAGAGAAAGGAACACAGTGGAATGGTAAAGGAGAAGATAGAAAGAGCAGCTATTAGCCAGTGAGGACGAGAGAGTCTTAGCTGCAAAGAACAAGAACAGACTTCAGAGTTGTGGAAGCAACTAATATTGTCCTCTGAAGATGCCGGCCACAGAGACTGGCGAAATGTTAGGAAGAACAACTTTCAGAACACGGCCAAAGAGCCCGAAAACCCCACAACAACCATTAGATCCCGGCCATGAAAGCCTTCGCGAATATAACATTGTCCTATTAACAGTGGGTCTTACCTAGTACTTCCTGAATATTAAGTAGTGATTTGTTTTTCATTCTTTCATTGATTGATTGGATGACTGAAATCTGCTCTTCATCTTTATGATAAGAGAATTTGGAGTTCAGCTTCCACATCGGAGATGTGTGGCCGGTCAAAAATGTTCAGATAAAAAGGAATTAAATCCTATGGCCACTGCTTACTTAAAGGACTTTCCCCTTAATGAGTGACGCAGATTCCTACTTGTGAATCCTTCTGAGCATCAATTCCTGACACCTACAGAGAAGCCATCCCAGTCACTGCTCACAGCAACAGAATTTCATGTTGAATTTTAATCTAAAGACATAGACAGCTACCAAGTTTAAGAGTATGTTGCTTTAAAGATACAGTAAATTGATTCAGGATTCTACAGTATGGCTCCTCTAAGCCAGGCATCAGAATACTGTGATCCTGACACACCAAGCTGTAGCCTGAGCAGCTTTCAAAAGTATTTATTTCAATTTGCTTTTGGAAAGTCCAGGTGATCTTCTGAGATGTGAGGTGTTTCAGCACATGTATGTTAATGATTTGTCTGCTTTTAATTAATCTGCAAATCAGCATCATACATTTCTGCAGCAAATTCTCCCTTCCCATGTTTGCATTGTGTAAGGGATATTTGTTTAGCTGTTACATATTTTGATTGTCTTGCTACATTGGGGGGGGGGCATATGTTGGGAGGTATTCATGTAGTGCCTTCCAGGTCCTCCAGTGCATGTTTTTTTACAGTAAGATATATGTATAAACAAATATATAATGTAAATACGTCAGTATAAATGTATACATCAATTTATAATGATAAATAAAAACATAGTTCTTGGCTTTTTCAGTTTACTAAAAGTGCTAGGTTTTAATCACTTTTATTTTCTTCCCCAATGTCATTAGAGGGCAGTTTTCAAGACATTTGTAAATGTGCCGGGAGGGCGGGGAATGAAGTAGGGCAGAATCTTGAAATGATGCAGTGGGAACATGTAAGGATCTATCTGTCTTTCAAACTATAGATCTTCTTGGAGTATAGAGACTCTTATGAGACAGATCCCGTTGAGACCCATTGCAAACATCCTGGGAACCCTTTCCTAAAAAGTTATTTTTAAACAGCCATGGGGGAAAGATTCTGAATATTTTCTTCTGCCATCTCTGTCACATGCCAGCCATGTTGTAGTAGCAACCAATCAAAGGTCAACAGTGCAGGGTTTTCACAGTAACCACCCAAAAATAGACAAGTTGGTAAAATGGCATAGGAGCACTCCTCAAAACAAAAAGGCTGAGGGCAATATCTTAGAGTTTTGTGTTTGGAATGGCCATGCTGTGGGCCTGTTACAAAGATGTAGTTGAGATTTTCCCTCTTTTCAACAATGTGGCAGCAACTTCTTCCATCTCGGGCACCTCCACCTGGAAGGCAGCAGCCATCTCGTCTCTTGCCAGTTTCAGAAAGGAATAGTCTTTCGCTAAGGAGCCAAGTCCCCCGGAGGTCAGAGCCTGTAGTAAAGGATTGAAACATTAGCCAAGCCCTTTTCGGCAGTACTGGAGTGTCCTCATTGGTTTGCTTCTGCCCCTAAGGATACATAAATACAGTGGTGCCTCGCTAGATGATGATAATCCGTTCCACTGAAATCGCTGTCTAGCGAAATCATTGTCTAGCAAAAAGCAAATCTCGTCTAGCGAAAATCGGTTTGCGAAGCAGGGACCAAACATTGTCCAGCAAAATTCCCCCATAGGAATCACTGTTTTGTGAATCGCTATAGCGATCACAAAAAGTCAATGTCTAGCGAAAAAACTGTCATGCGGGGTCACTGTCTAGTGAGGCACCACTGTATCTAACTCTATGCTATGTCTGACTTTTGCTTAAAGGTCTGAACATTAATTTTTCAGACACTTCACTCTGTCTTCCATTTCCTAGGCTGCTGGTGACACAGGAACAGTGCATTTTGCAAAATGTGGCCTCTAAGGGTGAAACAAAATGCCACGGATCACTCATCATTACAAGAGGGAGTTTTTGAAGTGCTAAAAACCTTTGATTGTCAATGTACTGCACACCCCACAACCTAATGCTCTCCCTATCAGGGATGGCAGACTTCACCTCCAATGCGCTGTTCAGGTTCCCCAGACTCCTACTTCTGGGGGACTTTAACATCTACGTGGAGATACAATTTCCTGGGGTGGTCTTGGGGTTTGTGGTATCCATGGGCTTGTCCCAACATATTACACTCTTGCTACATTTTGGGAGGCATGTGTTCAATATCCAATTGGTTTCCAGGTCCTACACAGATGTGGCAGGACATCCCTTGGATCTGGTGTTCACATCTGGGCAGAGAGAATATTATCTGAAAGTGGCAAACCTTCAGTCTTCTGCTTTGTCATAGGCAGATCATCACCTGCTGAGATTTGGACTTTGTATAACAGTGCCTCTCTGCAGAATGAATGGATCTATTAGAATGTTCTTTCCCCAAAGACTGATGGATCCATTTGGTTTCCATAATGCCCTGGGGCAGGGGGAGTTCTGGCTGATCTGGTTGATGCTCCTGTCAAAGTCCATATTTCCCACTAGTATTCAGAGGTGACCCAGGCATTTGACACAATTGCTCCTAAATGACCCCTTTGGTGCAGAGTGTCATGGTTTATGGAAGAGTTTAGGGCAATGAAGCAATTACAAAGACAGGTAGAGAGCAGATGGAAGAAAGATCCCACAGAATGCTATCTGACTGCAGTCAGGGAGATGTCGGGTAAATATTGTAATCTATTTAGGGCTTCAAAAAGAGGCTATAATACAAAACTGATTCATGCAGCCTCCAGTCAACAGGCAGAACTCTTTTGCATTGTTTGCAGGCTAACACATTCCAGACAGATGCAAAAATTACAGCGAAGTCTGGAGAACTGCAACCAACAGGCAGCCCATTTCAGATCCAAGATTGAATCCATCTGTCAGGATCTTGACTCCTTCCTAATCCCCATAGATCAAACTGAAATGTCCAATGCACCATCTAGTCAGATTTTATTGGAATCATTTCAGTTAGTAAGGCCTGAGGATGTTGACAAATCATGTGCATGCTATACACCTACTACCACTTTTTTAGATCCTTGCCCATCTTGGCTATTAAAAGAATAGGCTACTCATACTGATCCCAATGGGGATTGGGATGTTATTAGACAGCTACAAAGGTGTGCATCTGATTGCACCAAGAAGGGCTGCAACACAAGCAATCTCCTTTAAAGGAATCCTTCCATTTGTGAGGGAATTGCTCCAGCCTGCCCACCAAAAGTAGAAGCCCTACAGCTGGACCAAAAAGGTCTAGCTTAGGCATAGATCAGGGTCAGTCTGAAGTGCAATTCCCCATATGTCATGTGATCAGCTTAAAGGTCTGAACATTAATTTTTCAGACACTTCACTCTGTCTTCCATTTCCTAGGCTGCTGGTGACACAGGAACAGTGCATTTTGCAAAATGTGGCCTCTAAGGGTGAAACAAAATGCCACGGATCACTCATCATTACAAGAGGGAGTTTTTGAAGTGCTAAAAACCTTTGATTGTCAATGTACTGCACACCCCACAACCTAATGCTCTCCCTATCAGGGATGGCAGACTTCACCTCCAATGCGCTGTTCAGGTTCCCCAGACTCCTACTTCTGGGGGACTTTAACATCTACGTGGAGATACAATTTCCTGGGGTGGCCTTGGGGTTTGTGGTATCCATGGGCCTGTCCCAACATATTACACTCTTGCTACATTTTGGGAGGCATGTGTTCAATATCCAATTGGTTTCCAGGTCCTACACAGATGTGGCAGGACATCCCTTGGATCTGGTGTTCACATCTGGGCAGAGAGAATATTATCTGAAAGTGGCAAACCTTCAGTCTTCTGCTTTGTCATAGGCAGATCATCACCTGCTGAGATTTGGACTTTGTATAACAGTGCCTCTCTGCAAAATGAATGGATCTATTAGAATGTTCTTTCCCCAAAGACTGATGGATCCATTTGGTTTCCATAATGCCCTGGGGCAGGGGGAGTTCTGGCTGATCTGGTTGATGCTCCTGTCAAAGTCCATATTTCCCACTAGTATTCAGAGGTGACCCAGGCATTTGACACAATTGCTCCTAAATGACCCCTTTGGTGCAGAGTGTCATGGTTTATGGAAGAGTTTAGGGCAATGAAGCAATTACAAAGACAGGTAGAGAGCAGATGGAAGAAAGATCCCACAGAATGCTATCTGACTGCAGTCAGGGAGATGTCGGGTAAATATTGTAATCTATTTAGGGCTTCAAAAAGAGGCTATAATACAAAACTGATTCATGCAGCCTCCAGTCAACAGGCAGAACTCTTTTGCATTGTTTGCAGGCTAACACATTCCAGACAGATGCAAAAATTACAGGGAAGTCTGGAGAACTGCAACCAACAGGCAGCCCATTTCAGATCCAAGATTGAATCCATCTGTCAGGATCTTGACTCCTTCCTAATCCCCATAGATCAAACTGAAATGTCCAATGCACCATCTAGTCAGATTTTATTGGAATCGTTTCAGTTAGTAAGGCCTGAGGATGTTGACAAATCATGTGCATGCTATACACCTACTACCACTTTTTTAGATCCTTGCCCATCTTGGCTATTAAAAGAATAGGCTACTCATACTGATCCCAATGGGGATTGGGATGTTATTAGACAGCTACAAAGGTGTGCATCTGATTGCACCAAGAAGGGCTGCAACACAAGCAATCTCCTTTAAAGGAATCCTTCCATTTGTGAGGGAATTGCTCCAGCCTGCCCACCAAAAGTAGAAGCCCTACAGCTGGACCAAAAAGGTCTAGCTTAGGCATAGATCAGGGTCAGTCTGAAGTGCAATTCCCCATATGTCATGTGATCACTAGGAAATATAACACATCATATCATTCCACAAGTGATCCAGATTGCCACCTATTTCCAGGTGTGACCACATCTCAGTGACAGGTATAGAATGACACTGTTAATTTCTCATTCCCCTCTCCTTTTCCCTCAAAACATAGTATGGGATGCCAAGGCTTTTAATCATTTGTCTGTGCTAACAATAAAGTATCTGTAGAAGTTTGGAAGACATTTTTCATTGTTTTGCCATCACACTGAAAAACTGATGCACAAATACAGTCACTTTTGATTGGAATGAAATGGCTTTAAAATGCCAGTCACTCAAGACAGCTTTGCAGCCCTCACCATCCTATCTCTCTTTGGTCCTGAATCCCAGACCCCAACAACCTCCAGCCAATGCATACGATGCCAACAGATTTACCTCCTGGATGAACTGGATAGTGACTGGGGTGGAGGCTTCCATGTCTCTTAATCCATTTCCTTCACTGCTGCTTGTCAGCTGAGGTGCTTCATCATCAACTGCCTCATGCAAGGCAAAGGGCGTCTTGGGAGAAGTGGAGATTAAGGAGAACAGGTAAAATGGAATGGAAATCCCTTAACATCTGCAAACGAACTCTTATTACCTTGAGTACTGAGAGCTCTAAGACTACTGTCCCCAGGAAGCTTGTGGTACAATTTACAGATGGGGTATTTTCAAAGAAAACCAGACCTGTAAAATGAGCTTTGTTATCTTAAGAAGGATGTTAAGGGTCTTATAACATTGTAAGATGGATGCATAAACAAGACTCACAAAAACCATGATGAAGAAAACAGTATTGTACTTGAATACTTGGATATATCATAAATAGCTTTCTCATTTTGTCTCCATTGATATTCTAAATTTCGAGGGGTGGGGCTAGGACAAAAGGCATTATTCTGTAATGAAACAACCACCCCTCCAAGAGTGAGGATTGACTGGCCATTGTTCTCACTGGCTGTACTTGCTCTTCCTGCACACATAATTCCTTCTTGATGGAGGATGTAGAGTCAGTTTAATAACATCTTTACAGCGGTTGAACCTAATGGTCAAGCAGACCTATGGCTGCGAGTACATTGTCAAATACTAATTTTTTCAAGCTAGAATCATTTAAATGGGCTTTTTTCTCTCTGCACACATAATTCCTTCTTGATGGAGGATGTAGAGTCAGTTTAATAACATCTTTACAGCGGTTGAACCTAATGGTCAAGCAGACCTATGGCTGCGAGTACATTGTCAAATACTAATTTTTTCAAGCTAGAATCATTTAAATGGGCTTTTTTCCCTCTGTGCAGTTAGTTATGATACATTCTTGTAAAGACAGGAGGTGTTTCTGTAGGTGGTGTTTCAGTGACATAGGCAGTTGGGGAGTGATGTTCAGGACTGGGGGAACACACCTCCACATTCTTTCCTCTCCCTTGCTTGTTCTCTGAATTTTTCAAACATTTTAAAAAAATTCTTGCATATAGGAGATTAGCACAAGATCTCCCTATCATCTTATGGCTGGTTGTTATCACAAGATCTCCCTATCATCTTATGGCTGGGTAGTTGTTGTTACGTATTTCCCATGTTATTGCCCCTGACTGTTCCCTGTCAGATTAGCACAGGCAGGCAGGAAAAAAAAGTAGATGTGAGCCAGAATTCAAATCTCATCACATCAAATTTGAAGAGTGAATTCCTAAATCAATCTGCAGCCCCTGTATGAGCACTGACTGTGATTTTAAATGTAATACAGGCTGCAAATAAAATCTCAGCAAAGCCAAATCACTCCGATTCATCTTTCCCTTTTAGTCACACTCCATGATGGATAATCTCATTATACTCGGACCAGTGCAACTGAAAATGTCTGGCCATTGGCCTCACTGCATTTGAAACATACAATGAGCATGCATGCTTCAAGAGTATACACCAGCCACCTGTGTGGGTGTATGAAAGGGAAATGTGTCCCAATTTCTTGCAATAGAGAACTCGGACCTTGTTATATATGAGGAGAGTTTGGAAGAACTCTGTTTGGAGCTTGGACTCTCACTGTATAGACTGGGGAATCAGGGAGACTCTGTTTGGAGCTTGGACTCTCACTGTACCTGGTCCACTGCATAGACTGGGGAATCAGGGATGTGTGCAATTCTATGCTGAAGGGCTTTATTAATGAATGTTGTGTCCACATCAGCCCCTTTCTTTAATATTTCCACTCACTTTTGTCCAGCTATTGGCTGAAATTTTGTTGTTGAGCACAGTAAATCATACTAGAATAGGTCCATCAAACCAATGGGAATCTGGTGAATGAACTCTTCTGAAAAGTTCGTTGATTCTAATGAGCCTACTCTAATTGTAATTTACTATAGTACAGTAAGTTGCAGGTAGAGTAGACTCATTTGAATCAGTGGAGCTTATAGAGGAGTTGGCTCATCAAATCCTCACTAAATCAGTGGGCCAACTCTAGTGTGACTTAGTACGTGACTGCTGGATAGGTGTCTGGCAGCAGAGCCAGAGGCTCGAAGTTGGATTCCCTGCTGTGCCTCCCTGACCGGGGGTGGGGTGGGGGCTGAACTCGATGATCCATAGGGTCCCTTCCAGCTCAGCAGATGACAACGATGATGATGATGATGATCCTCTGGAGTTGATGATTATGACAGCCATTGTAACGGAAAAACCAGATGGCATTGTTTTCGTTTTTGTCTCCCTTCCCCTGCCATCCCCACTTGATTTCTGGTCATTCTTAAAATTTAAAATGTCTTTGCATAGTCTATTTGTTCACTGTAAATAAGCAAAGCACTTTTAATGGTTTGCTGGGTAGGTGGGGCTCGTGTGTGCCTCCCTGACCGGGGGTGGGGTGGGGGCTGAACTCGATGATCCATAGGGTCCCTTCCAGCTCAGCAGATGACAACGATGATGATGATGATGATCCTCTGGAGTTGATGATTATGACAGCCATTGTAACGGAAAAACCAGATGGCATTGTTTTCGTTTTTGTCTCCCTTCCCCTGCCATCCCCACTTGATTTCTGGTCATTCTTAAAATTTAAAATGTCTTTGCATAGTCTATTTGTTCACTGTGAATGAGCAAAGCACTTTTAATGGTTTTCAGGGCTCATATTCCTTCAGTTAAAAGCTTACAGCTTTTGTCCTTTTATTGGTTTCTATAGTACAACTGGTGGATAGCTTGTAAATTTCCTATAAACTGACATTGTCTCTGTTAACTATCATTTACTGTATTCAATGTTCTGGAAGGCTTTATTATCAATTTCCTCAAATTCATTTTATTCTTTTCATTTTAATAGAATGAAATATCTCTATCTTACTATACAAAAATATTAGAAAATACTTAATACAAAATTTATACTTAAAGCTGTCCCCCCATGGGGAAGGAAGAAAATAACGGTCAGTTAAGAGATAATATTTCAGGGAGAAGTAACAGGTTAAACATCTCTCAATAGGAAGCAATAAAATGGGCTCAACTTGAAAGCAGGAAGCTTTTAATTAACCCTGAAAAGCACTTTTATTGGATAGGACAGTAGTTCCCAAACTGTGCACTGTGGCACCCTGGTGTGCCACCAAACCCAGCAAGGGGCATCCCAGATTCCTTGGATGTGTGACTCAGGCCAAGCTTTTTCCTCCCTTCTCTTCCAAAGTATCGTATTCAGGGAGCCACGGCCAGTGCCCAGTAAGTCAAGAGTCAAAAAAGTTTGGGAACCACTGCGATAGGATTTTAAAGTAAATTTTATAGAAGAATCCTCCCTATACAGAAGGTACTGTCAGATGATATCATGGCATCTTAAGTATTGTGCAGAACCTTTTTGTTAATTCCACTTCCAGCTGATAATGGAAAAGCAATGACTAGCAGTGCTAAAAGATTTCAGTATGGAAGCAACTGGTCAAAACTCAGCATCAATCTCTGACAGAGTTGTAAGTCGAGTTTTAATGGAGAACAGCATTGGCTGAAATCTTCCTAGACTAAACTAAAGCAATGGGCCTCAGTTCGTATTTACCTGCTGGCTGGAAAACTGTAGAATTGGATTGGTCTTCACACCAGATGCTGGCAACACACTCCTTTTCCTTTGCTCCTTTTCAAGCTGAATGGAACATTTGTTGGCTGGGAGGGAGGGAAAAAGGCATGATGGATCACGGGAAAATTAATAGTTTGCAGGTGTTTAGAGAATGTCGCTACAGGAGCTCTATCTGAACTACAAAGTAGATAAGGTGTTGATTTGCAACAATGCCTGTTGATGTAGCAATACTCAAACATTTTAGTTACACAGACTCCTTCAATGGAGAAATCATTAAGAGCTTCCCACTTTTTCTCATGACCCAAAACATCAGTTTATACATAAACAGGGACTATATGGTTAGTCCCTTAGTTATTAGCAGCTAATCCTTTTGGTGATGAATAAGAATATTAAATGGAGGAAGGGGTTAGCTGGAACTCACCTCTGTGTGATAGCTGATGAGATGAAGGTAATCTCATCTCGCCCCTCAATTCGTCCTCATATGTCATCCTATGGAACAAAGCACTAATGATAAGTTCCAAGAAATGTCCAGTCCCAAATAACAATTTTTAATACTTAGACTATGATTTATACTAAAATAACAACTATAGGTTGGTTGTCCTGACTGTGCTTCTCCATCACTTTCTTTTTCCATCTGCTCTTCCATGTGTGTGTGAACATGCAGTGGCATAGATATATATGGTGCATTATTCATATGCACGGATTCCATGTGTGTCTCACCCTTTTTAACACATCACAGTGCCTTTCTTCTAGTTAAATGAATAAGGTCTGATTTGATCCTCAAGACTGGACACAGAGAGGAACACTCAGATTAAGTTGGGTGCTTCACAGTTTTTTAACCAAGTTCCTGGTAGTTTCTACTGCTGAAATTGCTGTAGTTGTCCACACCAGTATGCTTAGTTCACCTGTTACTAGAGTCCACGTTCTACTTCCCAATCAGTTCAATTAAAACCCTTTTCCCCACTCCTTTCCTTCTTCCCTCTTCCTCTATCCATCCTCTCAGATCAGCAGCTGTGGATGTCAGTCATCAGGGCTTTAAGCACACATGTTGGGAAGAATTAATCCCCATTTTCCATAAAACAGCAGTTTATGGACAGATGGCCTCACATTTGACTCTAGAATACTTTAGCATACAGAAGAGTATACCAAATGACTGTAAGGTGGCCAGGTCCTGTGGCTGCAAAATAAGCCCAAATCATCACCCCCTCCTCCATCATGCTTGACAGTTAGGATGAGGTGTTTGTGTTGATAAGCTGTGTTTGGTTTTCACCAAACATGATACTATGCATTATGGCCAAACATCTCCACTTTGGCATTGTCTGTCCAAAGGACATTGTTCCAGATGTCTTATGGGTTTTCCAGATGTACCTTTGCAAACCTAAGCCATGCAGTCATGTTAATTTTTTAGAAAGAAGAGGCTTTCGCCTGGCAATCCTTGCAAACCAACCATACTTGTTCAGTCTTTTATTAACTGTACTGTCATAAACTTTAATATTTAACATGCTAACATGTAGAATCTGAGATGTAACTCTTTGGGGTTTTTTTGCAATTTCTCTCAACATTTCATCATGTGACCTTGAGGTGACTTTGCTTGGACATCCACTGCTGGGAAGATTGGCAACTGTCTTGAATGCTTTCCACTTGTGAATAATAATCCTCACTGCATAATGATGGACTTTACATTGATTGAAAAAGGCCTATCTTCCTCACTGCAGAATAATGGACTTTACATTGATTGAAAAAGGCCGTATATCCCTTCCCAAATTGATAGGCAGCAACAACTGACCATTGGTAATTGACCATTGGTAATGGCGCAGCTAAAAAAAAATCTTGTAAATAAATAAATAAATAAACAAACAATTGCTTCACTATAATCATTGAAGATGTGTTTCCTCCTTGGCAGTGTGTTAACATATACCCGAATGCTCCAAATCAGCAAACTGCTAAAACTTTCGCTTTTACAAAGGTGGCCACACTTACTGAGGATCAATTTACACAAGGGCATTTGGTTAGCAGGATCTGACTGCTAATTAGCTTCTTAATTCCTATGGAAGCAGTAAGTTAGTTTTTCACACATGGCTTCTCCATTTTGGCTTCATTTTTGTAAAATAAATAATGACATACTATGTTGTGTGTTGTTCATCTGAGGTGGTATTTACCTAATTTTCAGACCTGCTAAGGATCAGATGATTTTTATTATGTCCTGATATGTAAAAAACATAGAATTCAAAGAGAGTTGGCTTGGGAGTGCAACTACACCAGAGCACAGAGTGCTATCCTTTGAAGATGCCGGCCACAGAGACTGGCGAAACGTTAGGAAGAACAACCTTCAGAACATGGCCAAAGAGCCCGAAAAACCCACGACAACCATTAGATCCCGGCCATGAAAGCCTTCGCGAATAGAGTGTACTTTCTTTTTCACATGACTGTATCTCAGTTGCCTTGCTGCTTGACTTTTTGGTACACTGACATTGCACAAGCTCAACTGCAGAGTAATTAAGTGTTTACTCATTAGTCTGTGCACTTAACAGAATGTCCACTATGACAGTTAGGAGCCTACATTGAGATTGTGCACCTGCACTATCTATGGTTTTATGCTGTCAAGGTTATTCTATGAGGCCTCACTAACTGAGAAGCTTTTACAGCTGAAGCTCTCATGAAAACTAGTGCATATTCAGGAATTCTGAAAAATCATGGCCTTAAAGCCAATGATTAATTGATAGATCCCATCAGCTTTAAAGGCTTCATTTCAATGGCTGTGTGTATGCTCTGTTTTAGGCTTCTGGCTACCTGTTTTTGTGAGGTAGAGAGTTTCTTCTCCTGTCTATATAATCCAAAGGGGTTCTTTTTTTGTTTGTATAATTTGTTTTTCATTTCTCTACTTTGTCTTAATTTATTTTTTAAATTCTCTATAAATTGTGAATTTGTGTGTGTGTGTGCGTGTAAGCATGGGAATATGCTGTTGTAGAACCCCAAACATTCTGCATGTTACTTGCTACTATAGCTTAGTCTTTGCCTGTGACTCTGAGGAAGAAGATGGATTTAGGGTTTTGGCCATAGCTTCCTTAGTAGCCCCAAGCACTTCTAGTAGGGCTTGCTTAAACCTTGGCTTAGCCTGGTTGTGGGAGTTCTACCTGGCAGGGTTATTGTTTACTCTAGTAAGGGGAGCCATTCTAGAACACTAATGGGATTGTGGGTTGGGGATCCAATGAGGAGTCTCTGAGAGCAACACTAGGAAAATCATCTTTGCATTGTGCCAATGAGCCTTGGTGCCTGTTGGGAATGAATGAAGATGGGGATTCAGGCCTGAAAAAACACTCAACACCCCAAATCAGACATTATTCTATTAAGATTTATCTCCCTGACTGGAGACACAGAAAAACCCAGCAATTATCTGAGATATCAGCCTAGGACCTGGCAGCCCTACCTACATAGGGCTTTACCTTGCTGTCACACTGTTGTTGGCATTGCTGTTGCTGTTGTTGGTATTGGTGTTCCCTCTTTGGGGGATTTCATCGAGAAACACGGGGGAATCCAAATCTTCACTTCCCATCTCAGTGAACTGCAGAGGTCTCTGGCTAGCCACATGGGGTGGTAGGGGGCTGCTAGGTTCCATGAAGGTGTCAACTTGGCCAAACAAACCACCTGTCCTCTGAGGAGAGAGAGAGAGGAAATTATTATTTTGATTCTTCAAAAAACCTTTGTGTTGTAGAAGGCTGGGAAGGGATTGGAGGATGGAAAGATGAGCCTTTGAGTAATGACATATGTTTCATTTAAGGTCAAGGCCAAGCTGCACATCATATTATACTAACAGAAGCATGGCCAAATTAGCTGATACTGCCTATGTCATCAGAAGCAGAGGAAACTTAACAGGAAAGCTGTTTTAACACAAAGTTGCCTGAGTGTCCATGTGGCAAATTAGCCTGCTTTTATTTTATGATCAATTGTCTTTTGGCTCAGGGTCATAGCACTGAAAGATTTTTGTGCCTGGAAGGATAACACTGTCAGATGAAGTGTGTCTTAACTTGTGGTCTGACTCTTAGAATTACCTTCTACATTTCCTTAGAAAAAAACAGCCAAAGGAGGGTGAGGATTGTATGGTTCAGGACTACAGCATGAGTTTAACTCTTCTCCATATTCCGTTTTCCCACTGAATGAAACTGCTCTTTAGTCCAAATTGTATTATTTCAAGCAACAAAAACCTCATGGTCAAAGAGCAATTGGTAGGACTGATTTTTGGAAGAAGAATAGGGGATAAAGGAAGTTGAAAGTACTTTAATTAAAAGTGCTATTAATGCAAGTGGAGTTCAGCCTTTAGATCCATTACTTGCAGCACGGGACTGGCGACAGTAGAGCTTTAAAATAATTATAAGAAAGGTTACTATGGTTGCCAGGCTGATCCCCAAGTCAAATAGATAAAAATATTAATAGTCCAATTAAAATAAGGGAGTAATTTCCATAGATATTCTGAGTTGCAAATAACATACCACTGAAAAGCTTGCAAGTCCCATTTTTGGTAGAGCTTCTGCTCTTCAGAATATTAATGCTAGTTGTTCAATATCAAATCAGTTCCCACATTTTATCTCTTTCAGACATTTTAGCAGGATCAAAAGATAAACCTGTGGTATTTCTATGCAGGTGAGAAGTGCCTTCCTTCACCCATTGGCTTCCCTTGACAGGGCACAACTAAAAAACTGCAAAAAAACAAAAAGCAGGGAGGAGCCCCCTGGGTTTTACTGATAGAGATGCACTTTTAATGTGCAAAGAGATATCTGTTTAGCTTAGAAAGGGGTGACCTTTAAAATATAGACACCCTTGCTTGTCTTTCACCCTCCATAATGATGAGTGTTGGATATAAAAGATACCAATGCTCATTTGGGGCTAAACAAAAAAGGAAAAGTCTTTGTGATGGTGTTGGGAGACACAAGGAGCCTCCCTTAAGAATGGGAGGACTGCGAACACATCAGGGCATCCTCTGGGCAACTGGCAGCTCCCTGCCAGCTGATCTTTCCACTCCAGAAGCACCATTGGATTGTTTCTGATATGAACAAAGAAGAAGGTCTTTTCTGATCTTGAATGATATTGTGACTATCACAACCATGTAAACAGTATGCTGTGTTAGTGACAAAGAATGGCACTGCCATGCTGGGAAGGCTTCAAGAGGGCAAATGTGTTCATGCTATGAGGGAGCACTAAAATTGGCATGGCACCCACTGGTGATGTTTGTAACAAGAGCTGGAAGACTGCTGAGATGCCCTTTAAACCAATATTACCTCATGCTCACACTCACCCTATAGATCCCTTCTTCCATTGCTGCTTCCACCATGGCTCTCTCAAGTTCTTCTTCTGCAGTCAAGTCCCCAGAGATGGCTCTTTTGATCTCAGGAGCGGCCTCCTCTTCAATGGTCCTCAGGCCAGCCTCATGAAAAGAGGGTGGAAGGGGTTATCACGGGCAGAATCCATTCGTGCCAGGGTGGGAAAGGAATGGCATAGACAAATTGGGACAAGAATCACATGCTCTTGTGCCTGGTTTGGAAATGTTCCCTTTTTGGACTGCAACCCCCAGAATCCTTCAGGCAGCATGGTGGCTGAAGGATTCTGGGAGTAGGCCCATTTAAATCAATGGAATGTTGACTCATCAAATCTCTATTGATTCAGTGGGCCTTTTCTAGTGCAATTACTTTGCTAAGTGTCTGGATTTTGGCCACTATCATATAGATGCTCCCTGAAAGGTGAATGAATGAGGATCAGCTATTCCAGAGAAATGGGCATAAGCAATTTGAGAGAACAGATGAAGGTGTAAAACAGTAATTCCATAAGAATATTTTCAAAGAGATTGTTTTATACTAGTTTCCTAAAGAACTTGAAAACATGGCTGTGAAAATCACAAATAATGGCTTGTGCACATTGCGGTATAAAACCTGAAGTCTAACTGGAACGGAGATTCCTACAGTCGTAAACTTTGCTTCAAAATAGGTGAAAATAATCCTGTGTTCCTTAGAACCAAGTTGGTACATACTGAATTCCTCAGTTCCATTTTCTGCTTACCTGGATTTCAACAGCGTTCTTTTTGGGTCGGTATCCATAGTACTCTTCCTGACGCTTAATGAATTTTCTGAAGTGCTCCTGGATGAGGAAGGTAGCATAGAACTTGCCCACAGTCACCTCATCATCTAGATAAGTAAAAACCAGTGAAATAATTACATTAACTCAGCAACAGTACCTGGCCAGCCTGCACATTTTAGACTCCAGGAGAACATGCAAAGATTATTCTTGATGAGTAAGCCAGGGAAGCCCAAGAAAAATTCAAAAATTATTTCTTGATTACTAAATTGTGAACTTACCTCCAATTGGTGGAATGACTTGATCCAAGAGCTTCATGCTGGTTCTTTTCCAGATCTTTTTGATAATCATTCTCAGCTCTTCATTGGCTTTTTCAAAGTTTCCTACAAAAGCACCAAACAATCATATGGAATTGACTTATAAGTGGTTAAAACACTGTACTGCAGCTAAAACTGTGCTCACAACCTGGGGTTCAAATCCCAGGTAGCCGGCTCAAGGTTGACTCAGCCTTCTATCCTTCCGAGGTCGGTAAAATGAGTACCCAGCTTGCTGGGGGGGGGCAATGTGTAGCCTGTATAATTAAATTGTAAACCACCCAGAGAGTGCTTGTAGCGCTATGGGGCGGTATATAAGTCCCCCCCAAAAAAGTTTTATTTGTTCTAGCAACAGCAATCATCTTAAGCCTTTTATAAAACTGAAGACATCTAGGACTCAGTCACTTCACCAGCATGTCAACTACACTGATTTATCAGCAACTTAAAAGCAAAAAGTGTGCTGCTTATATACTGCCCATAGCGCTTCAAGCACTCTCTAGGTGATTTACAAGTTAATTATGCAGGCTACACATTGCCCCTCCCCCAGCAAGCTGGGTACTCATTTTACCGACCTCTGAAGGAGTTCTGACTCCTGTCAGAAACAGAAATTAGAAATTTCTAGAATTTCAAAAATAGAAATTCATTTTTCTATTTTTGCCCCCACTTCTTTTCTTATACTGTAGTAGGGTGTGTTGTTACAAACTAAAAGTATAATATTTTGCTCAAGCAGGTCAGCATTTGCAGAAAAATGGAAACACATCAATAGTCATATGAAGGTAATTAGACAATGCTTATGCATGTACATGCTCCAGTTAGTAAGTGTTGTGTTTAAAAATCTGCAATCCCCAATTATAGACCATATGCATGTACAGATTCACCTTCACAAAATTGTTAGGATACAAACATTGCATGTGCATGGGTTGATACTTGGGGTATATGCTGCCCAGAATAGATCTTTGGTCTAGATGGGTGGGGTATAAATCCAAATGAATGAATGAATGAATGAATGAATGAATGAATGAATGAATGAATGAATATGATATTCAAAATAAGACATTAATCACCAACAAGTATAAGGGGAGGATATCCTGAAAAGCAAAGTTTTTATGTGCTTCCTGAATATTAGGAAGGAAGGGGCCTGGTGCACCCCCACAGGTAGAGCATTCCATAAAGAGGTGGCCACAATAGAGAAGGCCTGGCATCTAGTCATAGACTTCTTGCCCTCCCTCGGGATGGCCAACCACAGCATCAACACCTGGTATGAAAAGTTGATCTTAACAAGAAGATTTGTGATAGGTAGTGAGGTCCTAAACTGTTTAGGGATGTAGAGGTGAGTATTAGTAACTTGAATTTGGTACAGAGGCAAATTGGTAACCAATGCAGGCAAACAAGGACCAGGGAAATATAATCTTTTCCCCAAAATTAGCCTGGCCACCACATTTTGTACCTACTGCAGCCTCTATACTGCCTTCAAAGACATGTGATGTGATGTATATAACGCCCATGTATATAATGCTGGCTTTCATGCTTTTCAATTATCTTGATGAAATTATTATTTGATTGCTTCAGATGATTTATTTTGGTTTGGTTTCTGTTCAGTTGTTTTAAATGTGCTGCTTTGAAATACTGTTTAGTGAATAAATACTGTATAGTGCTGCCTGCTCTCAACTATCTCCAGATAAGATCAGATTAAATACAACAACAGTAGTAGCAGCAGCAACAACAGGTATTTTTTTTGCCTACATGACTAAGTTCTTTCACCTTTATCAGCTCTGAGATGGATTAAATTCTTAACATCAGCCATGTGTTAGGATCATCCAGCCACTAGACCCCTGGAGGCAGCACATTGGTATGCCTCCATGCTGAAGCTACGTATGCTAATTTGCAGCAAATGATTGCCTGACTCTTTAAGGTTTCGTGATTAAATGCACTTGAAAGGCATTAGTTACTATTGATTTATAGCATCTTCTGTTGAGCCTGTGTAATCGTACCATAATGGATTTTAAGGTCAGCAGAGAGTCTACTGACATATAAGGTGTTCTTTAGAATTCAAAGGATAAATAATGGCAGCCGCGAGGAACTACAGTGAAGTTATTCATAGGGCAGATTGGGGTGGTTTCACCTCTCACCTTCAGTCTTGATCTTGAGCGCAGTTCTCACCAGAGCAAAGAGTGTAGCATTGAAAGTAACTGTACCATCGCTATTCAGGGGCATGTTCATCCCCACCAGGCGCTGAAAAACACATGCACTTGTACAGAGAAATAGCAGCCAATGACAGTTCTATTCAGGTTTTCATGGATGGTATCACTACACTAATTGTTATCTTCCTGCATTTCCTGGGAAGGCCTGAAGGGGGAATGTAATACTGTAGTATCGACTTGAACACAATTTTACAAACCTCCATGAAGTTGGAAAAGCAGAGGCTTGCCTGATCAAGGTTGCCAGTCACATGAACCTCTGCAACCACATCCACCTGGGTGTAGTTACTGCTTCCTTTCAGACCTTCCTCATCAACTAGGGGCTGCCATATATGCAGGGGCTGGGGGCAAATTTTTTATTCTCAGCACCTCGTACCTGGGGCTGCTCAGGACCTGGCAATGCAAAACAAGAAAACCAAACCAAAACAAAAACAAAACCAGAAGTGACCAGATGCCCTCTTCCAATTTTAACCTTGAGTTTGGAGGAGGCTGGCCTGCAAGGATCCTGTGATTTCTCTCTCCCCATTCCAATTGCAGAAAAGGCCACCCCTAGAAGTCTCTGTGAGCAGAAAACCCCATTGTTATGGGTAGAAAAAAATGGCACAGGAGACATGAAGTTTCCAGGGGTGCCTGGCAGAGGCTTCAAAAATTGCCTTGGGGAACTGCCTGCAGCCTCAAACCAGCTTTGTCCATCCCTGAAATAAACAAAAGAAGGATTTCTGAATGTCTGAATAAGGGTCCATTGCTCTGTTCCCCCCATCTCTCTCTCTCTGTCTCTCAGTCTCTCTCTCACATACAATCAGAACACGAACAAGCATCGCACCCTTGATAGCCATTACAATGTTTTACTCTTTGTCACCAGATTACATTAAACACCAGCCCTTCATTCCTTTGCTTTTTAAGGTAATGGCATACTCCATTGCAATGGGACTCTGGGGCCATTTTGTGTGGGATAAGAATTAACTTAAGGTTGAATCAGAAAAAAATGCTAAGCATATCTTCAGATGAAATGCTCTTTTAAGTGTTTAAAGGGATCTGTTTGTTATAGCACATCATTCTCCTCCTTTATGTGTTTTGCATTTAGTTTGCTTTGTTTTGTGATTGGTCACAAGAAGGTCAACAAGGGCTTTAATCTGCAAGCCTGATTGCTGAGGCACATGTTTCTAATAAAGTTCTACTGTTGGAGTAAAAATGGCTTAGTCAAAGGAAACAGTTATGCTTTGAATGTCTAATTTGATCCTGGAACAACTCAGGCCTAGTTAGGATTGATAAGGAAATATTTCCTCAAGATTATTACCTTGCAAGCCACACGATGTGGACAAAATTTCCCAAAGCCCAAGGGAGGCTGGATTCGTCTCAAAAGAGTCACCACATCCAGATGTTTGATGCGGCCCCTGAGGAAATAGGAAGAGACAACATGGTTTACTCACTCATTGCAGAGTTGGAACTTCACTTCCTAATTCTAAGGACTGGAAGTCACAGTTCGGTAGCATGCTTGCCCCATTTTAAAAATCTTAATGTACATACATACAATCCCACTTTATGTTCATGATCTGGTGGTGTAGCGTATAACTTAAAAGTACATTGGACAAAGAAACCATGAAACATAAACAAAAAATGGGAAACTAACCATGCAAACTGTGTGCATATTAACCTCCTTGCAAGCCTTCTGAATTGGTGAGGATCCATATGGGCAGAAGTTGTTTGCAAATATAACTGTATTTTACTCTATAAAATATACCTGCATTTTACTCTATCTGGCAGAATTAAATAACAATAATAAAAACAATAGAGCTTGTACTGATGTTCGCCTTCTGTAAATATATATACGTAGATACTTTTGCCCTCAAATGATTTCCTACTAGAATTGTCGAACTGGGTTGATCCTGGAGTGGAAAGCAGCAAGAGAAATGATATCACAGGGTGGCATTTCATGGACCAAACACCGCCCCCTAGACTCACTGGTGTCACTTTGTCCTACTCCTCTGTGATGTCATTTTCCCGTTTTGTGTGCAGGGGGAAGCACAGACCACACTCTCTGAACAGAAAGTGCTCTTCTTAACTCAGACCAGAAATAACAAGAGCATTCCCCCCCCCCCATTTTGTCTGTGTTTTTGGCTCAGAATAGGAACAGGGGGAATCCTACTCTTCTCTTTGTTTTCAGACCAGAGATAACCATGGGATTCTCCTGCCTTAAGCTTAACTTCCCAGAGCAAAAGATGAACTTTGCAAGAAGATTCTCCCCAAAATAGGAGGGCATGGCTCTTCATAGAAAGGTCAGAATGTGGCACCCTCCAGAACCCTTGAAGACCACATGCAGACTTTCTGTTGACTGTCTTAGGCATGTAGACTGGAGGTTTCCCTGTCCTACACTCATAATATTTCCAGGAAGTAGAAGCTTTCTTCTTTTGAGGTTTTGTTTGTTTGTTTAAAATGAAGTAATTAAGGACGTGGTCAGACAGAGAAAAGGGGTTACATCTGATTGCACCAGAAAGATTCACTTTGCTAGCAGCAATGTCCCTTAAAATGACCCTTCTGTCCATTGGGGAAGCCCAGTCCAACCCTAAAAGGTAAAAGCCCTACTGCTGGACCATAAAGGTTCAGCTTGGACAAAGATCAGGCTTGGGCTGGTTTGCAATCTCCTGTACATCATGCGATCACTAGGAAATAGTTTGCACCACGTCGTGCCACAAACAGTCCAAAATGTGATCTATATCCCTGGTTGGTTGCACTCTAATTTACAAACTTAGTAACAGTTGAGTTCTCACGTGGCTTCAGGGTCATATTCCGCCCAGATTTTTTTGAATTCATCCAGATGATGTGGGCCTAGTATGGACCAATCCCTCGTGAGGTAGTCAAAATTGTCCATGATGACAGCGACAAAAAGATTGATAATCTATGGAGAGATGCACATTTAGATGAAAATGGAAGAGGATAATGATTCAGAGCCCTTCAAAAAAGCAGAGTCAGCTGGTGGTCCACAGAACGATCCATGTACAGCTGAAGAGTTTGGTATCAGAATTACCAAACTGCAGCAAACTCTTCCCTCTATTTTTCAGACAGTTGGCTGGGAGTCATAGACAATAATATAAACTCTTCAGCAACTCTGCTGTTCAAACATACTTTAAGATGAGTCTACAAGTGCGGAAAAGGTCATGAGTAGTTCTGCAAGTGTCAGAAGTCAAGTCTATACACCTTGCATGCATACATTGAGAGAAACCCAATTTGAAGTGTGCTAGCAGAAAATGGTTATTATTTGAGTCTTCTTTCACAAGCCAGAAATCATCATGCTCTCATACTCTGTTGTGCTGGACTATTTGTGGTGATGACTGAAGAGCAGTTTGTGATAGTAACAGGTCTCCTATGTGATTTTCCTGCTTCCATGATCACACCTCAATACATAGGCTCTCAGCTTTGGATGGAAAAGAATCATCGTACGCAAATCCTAAGAGGCCAAAGTAATGAGTAGGACATTCTAGGGCTACATTACTTTATAGCAGAGCTTGGAAACATTACTTTGGTGTATGATTTATTTATTTATTTATTTATTTATTGTCATTGTAAGTATATATACAGTATACCCATACAGTTCCCACATTCCCTCAAAAGTCAAGTGACAGTTGTTCAAAAAAGTAACTTGTCCAAGCTCTGCTTTATAACTTATGTTTAATCCAAAATGAATATGAACTGTGGACACCTGACAAAATGGAAACGGGTCAGAAAGGGTAACTAGAGATCTTTGCTTTGAAAAGAGTAATCTCTTTTTCTTTGGATGAAACATCTCTGTGGATAAAACCTGACATAGAGAGAAAGCTGGTTAAAAACTCTCCACACATGGAAGACCATCTCTTTGCTAACCTCATGAGGCTTTCTAATAGCTAAAGGTTTAAACTGCCCTGTACGTGAAATATTTAAATATTCAAAATTTTACTTGCAAGTAATTGTACAGGGACTGAATCTGGATCAAACTCACGTCACATAAACAGAGATTTATCCCTAACTGATTTCTGTCCTAAATCTTCATTCTTATGGGAACTAGGAAAAAATTATTCAACAGAATATTTGCAATTGAAGCCCCCCTCCCTTTTTACCTCCTCCCCCATGCAGTGAGCCTGCTCTGGATCAGGCCTCATGGTACTTACTTGTGAATTTAAAAAGAAAGTAACTTTAAGATGTGTACCACACTTTTAACACAGAGGGTAACCTTAATCTGTTTCAAAACAAGCAATTTCCCCTTTTTTTGCTTTCTTCCTCTCCAATATGGCTTCTGACTGCCCTTCAAAATAAAACATTATATTTGTCCTCCTGATATTTGTTGCCTAACTATCCGTGGTTCAATGGCTCGATAGAACAACAGTCGCTTGATGCATGGGAAGTTTTACATCTGGCTGGATTTGAAGGTCCCAGACAGTGAACTGCCTGAGCTCTGGAGAGTGAAGACAATCAGCTATTAATAACAGTCTGTGCACAACATCAATATTAGGTCTGAAGGAAAATAACAGATGTTTGTTTTTATTTTAAAAGCAAAAGTGGTTTATGAACAGCATTGGCTCCCACAGTGTGCATACATTTATTTTCTCCGACTATCACTGGTGTTCAAAACATTTTGGCCGAGTTTTGGAACAGTACAAAAGTCTGCAAAACTTGTTTGACCAAAAGTGACAGGGAGATGAGAACGCACATCCGAAGCAGAAATTCCTTCTTTCAAAGGACCTTCCATGCTCTGAGATGGGTGGAAAGCATCAGAGGTCAAAGTAGTAACAAACCAACCCCAGGCAGCTCTCTCGTGTATTTCTTTTACTGTGCATGATCTGAATGGCCTTCGCATCACAACTAGCTTGGTCTTGGATGAAGGTGCTACTGATAACATCTATCTATATACCACAATTGTATGGCAGTTGTATGGGAAATAAACACAAGGTAACAGAGGAAAAACAACTTACCAGGAATGCACATATCATGTAGAAGCTGATAAAGTAGAAATAAGCAAAGCCAGAGCCACAAGAATATTCCTCCCCAGGAGCAAAGTCAGATTCAGAGTCACACTTCTTCCCATAGCTCGCAGCCAGCATGATCTCCTGCCAGGCTTCGCCTGTTGCACACCTAGAGAAAGAAAGATAAGTAAGATAGTGTAGGTACCTTTTACAGATTGCATTCATGGAGAAGAGGATATGTCCTGGTTAGCTGGTTCCTCAACAATTTCTGGATTCTTGAAACTAAAGTGAAAAAAAAACTATGAACAAGTGTTTAATTTGGCACATGGTGGAAGAACTGGGAAAATTCACTTTGTTTTAATGTTATTTTTGGATTACAGCTGCCAAAATCTATCCCCTGGTATAGTCACGGTCTGAAAGAAGTCCTTTTCAGGGTTGTGTGGCAGAGTGAATGAAACTTTAAGAGTTATGACTCATGCATTTCTTTCTTGCAGGGCAGAAAAATGAATTTAAAATTTTGAAATTTCATATGTTGAGATATATTTCATATATCCTGGCTAGGTGAGGTTAGGAGTGTTTTTCTGCATTTTTCACATTTCAGTCTTTTGTGAAAGTATTGCAGGAGTACTTTTTATGCAGTTTCTTCCAGAAATATATATAGTGCAAAATGCAACAGTGTGGCAGTGATTATGCAAAATCCATTTTTTAAAAAGCTCAAAATATAAATGGGGGGGGCAAAATCAAGAATGTTTTTTATTTGGTTTTGTACTACTGCTGATGATGACAAAAAAAGCCATTGACCTTTTCAATCTTATTCAGGAGCAAAATTCTCACAGTGGCAGGACATTTTTAATAGCTGTTGAGACTCCTTTTTTGGGGGGTAGAGGATGAGAAAAATTTGAGCATTTGTTACTAGGCACTATTACCTATTCTACAGCTTCATTCACCTCGAGGGAGCTCATTTGCTGGCCTGTGCTGATGTGCCCTTCAAGTTATCAGTCTGGCTTTACTTCCACAACAGAGCAATTTAATCCTGAATAAAAAGGTGAAAGGTACAAAGACCAGGGATTACCATATTGAACTTTATAGTGGACAGATTTGCATTTGATGGCCTATTAGAGAACAGTCCTGTAATTGGAGGAATCCTGAAATGCAGGATACACATGGAGAAGTACCAGATGACACAGATTTGCTCACAAAGTCAGCAGCTGAGTAGTAAACAGAGTGGACACACAAATCAGCAAGTATTATTCTTCCCGTTTATGGAGCCCTCTGTTGTGTCTCCTACTTATAATACAGCATTTATTTCTAAACGTGTATCGAGGTAAGCATAAGTATAAATCAGCACCCTCCTTGTGGTGATGCCCCCATTTCTGGAAATGTTCGAGTGGCCATAACTTCAGCAAAGGACTAACATTATACAAACCTGAACAGCAGCAACACTGCTTGTGGGAAGGTCTGGAAGTTGTTGTTCCGATTTATTTGGGTACCATCCACCAGAGCAATTTTCCCAAACATCTGTAAATCAAAAGGTTTGTTCATCAATGGCAAGAATGTGCTTTTGCTGGAGGCATTAACTCCTATTATTTGTTTCTTTGATTAATCTGTACTTCTTGAACCCTCTTCCTCATGTATGCTAATATTAATTCTGCTGCTAGGTGCTTCCAGATGGATGGCTTTTAATATTGCTAAACCAAAGGAAGCACCCTTTCTCTTTGATTGTTTAGACAGAGATCGGCAACCTTCAGAGATCAGCAACCTTTAGAAATCAACAGGCCAATTTTCTTTTTTGGTGTGTGTGTGTGAGAGAGAGACAGATTGAGAGAGAGAATGGCAAAAATAAGCAAGGAGGGCTTCATATTGCCCTCATGGTCTTCATGATTCAATCGCTTTCATTGTTGCCATTAAATTTCTTCAAAAGAAATTAAACAAAAGCAGTTGCATCCTGTAAACTCATGAGAATGGAAGGAGACTCATGCTGAATCAGGCCTCTGGACTTTCTGGAATCCTCCTTCCCACAGCAGTCAAGCGGCTGTTTCTGGGAAGCCAATGAGCAGAGAAGAACTTAATTGCTTTTCTTCCACTTCAATGGTTATTCAGAGGCATTCTACCGCTGAACTCAGACATTACGTTTAGATAGCAAACTGATGGCAAGCCTATGCTCCATCAATTTCCATGTTATAGTTTTAAACTCTAAGCTGTGGTCAGCTTCACAAAACTCAAGTGTGACTTGTTATAGAATCAGTATGTACAAATATGTTGCTGGAAAGCTCAGAAACCTCATGAGGACTAAGTATGAATATATTTGGCCATCCTGTGGCAGAATGTCTTCTTTGTTCATATTTCTATGGAAAGAGGCATGGGTTCTGCAAGGTCATAGTTTGCACAAGGTCAGGAGATATGCAGAGTTTCAGTTACACTGGAGGAAGGGGGCCAGGAGGCAGCCTTGGTAATTCCTTCTTCTTGCTGTTTCCTGAAAAGCTGTTATAGAAAACAGGCAGCTGGAATTTTTGGAGGAGAGGATTGCTAGGGAAACCTTCTGGCAAGCGATGGAGAGTAAAGTGCTGAAGAGCACCTTGAGCCTTTTCTCCAGCAGGGAACTATGGTTCCATCATGGTGCTGTCTATGAAAGGAAGAACTTTCTGTCTAAGGAATGGCCAATGTGAATCCAACCCAGAATTTCCAAGTGGATGGTTGAGTCACTGGATACATGACCTTTTTGAGACCCTGGAATGATTATTTACTATGCAGTGTAAATATTTATTCACTTCAAAGATGAAGAGTGCTCTAAGAGCCAAACTACCTATTACTTTAAAGATATAGCTACCCTGTTTCCCTGAAAATAAGCCCTAACCTGATAATAAGCCCTAGTATGATTTTTCAGGATGCTCATAATATAAACCCCTACCCCAAAAGTAAGCCCTACTTAAGTGAAACCCCACCCTCCACCATTGTGTAGCAACCAGAAGAAAATGACATAACTGTATTTGAATAAATGTAGATTGTTGTACCTGGAAAAAAAAATCCCCTGAAAATAAGCCCTAATGCGTTTTTTGGAGCAAAAATTAAGATCCCGTCTTATTTTCAAGGAAACACAGTAGCAGTATGCTTTTTTCCTTTTTGACTGTAAAGCAAGTGCAGATCTAGACCATAACCATGAAAGCTGGCATGGGATAGGCTTTAAACTTTTGTTTCCACTGCGATCCCCATATAGAGTGTCCCCTAATTCACATCACCAGGGAATGAAATTTCACAAAATATTTTTCAAGTGTAGTGCCTCTGAGCTGAACAGAGTCTGTGAAAGGCAAAAGGTTTAAAGTCCTCCCTGCTTGTCACACTACAGTCTCAACCTGAATTTGGTCCTCTCTTTATATATCTGAATTTAGGTCAAAAAGGGAGGCCAAAAAAAGGGGGGGGGGAAGGGATAGCTGCTAGCTACATCTTTAAAGTACAGCAGCCCATTGTCTGTTTCTTGAGAAGAAGGTTTACAAGGAAGAATTCCGAGAAAATAAATCACAGTATGACATCTAAGCCTGTGTTAAGCAGGATATATGACTGGCATTTTCACTGGACCTCTACTGAGGAAATTCAATAAAGTTGCAAGTCTCAGGGTGCTGGTTGAAATCTCAAGGAATTCCTCCTCTTCCTGGCTCTCTAGACAGGGAAATAAATCTCAGGGCAAGTGGTGCTAGAAGAAAAAGTCTAACTTTTTGGAAGTGTGGTGGAGTTAAAGCCTGGACAACCGCCCAGAGTAGATCTTTGGTCTCAATGGGCAGGATAGAAATCCAATAGATAGATAGATAAACCAACCAACCAACCAACCATATCCATGCATTCCTAGCTGGCACCCGGACTCCATTGCGCAATGAAATTGTATGTGTGTTGCATTTTCTCAGTGTTGACACACTAAAAGCCCAGAACTGAGGGGAGAGGACTGGGAAGAGAGCTGGTGGTGCAAGAAGTTGAGTTCTTCATGTCACATGGAATGAGAATGGAATGCCAGCATTATGACTTCTTGTTTCATAAACCCTGACAGCAGCAGCAGCACAAAAAATGCTCTTGGTAAACTGTTGGGCACCTCCCACAAGCCCCAGATTACCTAATTAACTGGATTTTATCTACATGATGGCCCCATTTACCACTCTTCCCTTCATGCCTCCTCCCCCCCCAAACTACTCCCTCAGAACCAGTTCTTCCCAATGTTTTGCCTGCCTGGCCTCTGTGACCTCACAAAATCCCATCCCCCCATCTGAGTTTTTTCCTTGAAATCTCTGAGAATTTTATTATTCTGACCTGGCAAGCCTCTCACACAAACCATTTCTTGCATCCTTACCTGCATTCCAATGACAGCATAGACAAAGAACAACATTACAATCAGCAAGGCCACATGAGGCAGTGCCTGGGGACAGAACATAGAAGAATTAAAGTGTCATACACAACGTCTTCACAAAGAAATGACACAGGAAGAGTTGAATCACAACAACGTCCTATATCTAGAACCTATACTGTACTTCACCTGTGCCTGGGTGAAAAAATTACCTAGTGATATTCTTACCTGGAAGGACTTGATAAATGTCCAAAGTAAATTTCTAATGCCTTCTCCTCGACTCAGCAGTTTTACCAGCCTCAGGACTCGGAAAAGCCTAAAAAAAGTGATGGAAATGCGGCCAGTTTCATCAGGATCTATAGCAGGAACCTGTGGAAAAGAGCACATTCCTTCAGCAGTGAGTGAGAATGAAGCAGACAGAAGGAAATTTTTACTCACTAGGAGATGGGTTGTGTTAATCAGATATGTACATAAGTAAAACAACTACCATTCATGATTTAACTGTGAATGAGGGAGGCCAATGTGTTTTTCTATTATTAAGACTTATGAAGAGAGATTGGAAGATGTTTAACTTCCTTAGCCCTGTCAACCTGGGATTTTGATGAAACATCAACATCACTTTGAGGGCCATGGACATGTATGTTATGTGGTCTATAAAGGATTCAGTTTCCTTGATTTCTGTCCAGTAGAGCATCACTTTAGGGTTTCTGCACCTGGTTTAATGGCTGCTCATCTCTGCTTGAGCTGACAGAGGTGGCATCAAAATTGATGGTGAGGACCTCCAGATCATTTTGGAGGAACTCACGGATTGTTGCCTTGTCATGGCAAAGGGGCTTGAGTAATTCAGAGAAGCTATAGGCTATGCCGTGCAGGGACAGCTAAGATGGACAGGTCATAGTGAAGAGTTCTGACTAAACACGGAGAAGAACACTGGAGAAGAGAAGACTCCCTGGAAAAGACCCTGATGTTAGGAAAATGTGAAGGCAAGAGGAGAAGGGACAACAGAGGACGAGATGGATGGACAGTGTCATCGAAGCTATCAGCATGTATTTGACCCAACTCTAGGAGGCTGTGGAAGACAGGAGGGCCTGGCATGCTCTGGTCCAAGGGGTCACGAAGAGTCGGACACGACTTAACGACTAAACAACAACAACAACAATATCCAAACCGAAGCTACCTTGTCAGAAACAGCACCATATGGCACTATGTAGCTGTCCTAATTTGTCCTTAACACAACATGCATGGCATGTTGAAGAAGTAAATTTGCAAGCCATGATTCCAACTTTGTGGGAACTTGGTAACCAGGATTTTAACGATATTATACAAAAATATTTTTATTCTTCCAGACTTTAGAAATGATGTTTTAAAAATGTAGTTGTTACATTTTATTTGTATATTTTGAATAGAGTCCACTGAAGATCATATAGAAATATTTTAAATAAATAATTAAATATTCACCTGTGGTGTGGCTTCTCCAGCAGAGCTGTATCCTTGGAGCGCAGGCGGACTCGTCTGTGAAGATATCATGTGTAATAAGGACAGCAGTGGTAGCAATATAGGGAGTTTTATGGCCTCAGGGCCAACAGCATGCTAAACTAAAGGACTGGTTAAAATTATGTGGTTGATTGCATGCCAACACAGAAAATGTATAATATAGGAAGTAAATTCATGCTGTCACAGTTATGCTTAGATTTCCAAGAGTAAGATGAATTGTGCAGTTCTAAGCCTAGTGAACAATCTCAGAAATTAACATCATGGTCTTCTTGGACTGCTAGCTTTACTGAAAGGAAGGATACATCTGAACCATAGAAATCATATATCCAACATGGCAGGTAGGAAAGGTGTTCTTGATGCTATCATGGAGTTGGGAAGGGGATGGCACTTATTGCTCCTGCAGTTTATCACAACAGCAAACTAGATGTAAATACTAGAAATGCAGTTACTTGTAACTCTTCAATGTGTGGGAGAATAATGCTAACAAAACCGTTTACTCATTGCAGTGGAAATATGGTAGCTAAACTGATTTAGATCTATAGGGAAAATAAAGGATTATGGAAGTTGTAGCCCAACCAAGTAACTTTGTTGGCACAATGAATCCAGACACAAGCACATCAATGTCAGTTCAGTACACAGCTCCATGATGCTTTTGCAGCACAGATCACATGGGACTGTTGTGCAACAGTACACACCTGGTACAAAATTGATTCAGGGATTTACACTTCTGTAGAGCCGCAAAAGCATTATTCAGAGTTAGTTTCATAACTGGTAGCTAAGGCCCTAGTCACACAAGGGAAATGTTTACTACTTCTGATACCTCTGTTGTATTGATACCTCTGTTGTAATTGAATCATGGTCATGTGATTTATATCCTGGAGCAAACATCCCAATAACTTTTAGTAGAACCGATTTATTTCCTCCTGTTTGAATCATTATGGCTGGCTACACCATGGTACCAGTTTATTTTCTCTCTTGCTTCAAGGGCCAATTTAGCCTCACGACTTATATATATATTGAAAATAACATTTATTGAGACATCAATATATCAGGAACAAGGTTCCCGCCAAGATGCATGACTGTGCAAGTGAACATGACTCTGCCTCCCTCCGCACAGCTTTCCTCCTCCCGATACACCCACTGCGATTGTTTCCAGTCCCTGCACATATCACCCCCCCACTGGTGACATTGGCATACCAATGGTTAAATGTATCTTCCCATGGGGGGAAATCATTACTCGCCAGTAATGTAATTGCAATGCATCACCTGGTGATATATTTTTACCAACATATTGATGTATCAGGCATGAAAAAAAAATATTTTTTTTGCAGAGTCCAGTAATGGAGGCCACCTTCCTGGCTACAATTCTAAAAAGAAGCAGAGCAGGTCGTGCACACAGGCAATCTCAGTAAGGAATGCACAGGTACAACAAAGGTACAAAATAACACACCCCTCTTGATGATCGGAAAATGTTCCGCAGTAACATCCCTGGCCAGGAAAATGTCTTGATCTTGAGCGTGCATCATGCAACCAGAAAAAAAAAGCAACAAACTAACTGAGGTTTAACTAGAGAACATTTCCCTCATGTGACCAGGACTTCAGGTACGGGACCTTCATCTCTGTCTACATCTTCTTCTAAAATGAGATCTGCAAACTGAACTAGGAATGAAAGTTGGGTTCTCCATGCTGTAGAAAAACACTAATACTGTACATCTGCTGGCCTTTGCTGTGCTTCAGAAAGCAAACCCGTCAACTGCCCTCCCAAAGCTATCCCTGCCATCTGTTTTGTGGGACGGTTCTTTCAGTGAAATCATAAACACGGTAGCAAAACAGTTAGAAATCTTACATAAGAAGCTCAAGGTTAGAAGCTTTTAGCTCTATGCAACAATACATTTCACAAGTCCTTCAGATTTCTAGGACATAAGGCTAAGGAGAAGACAGAAGACAATGATTAATTGCTGTTAATTAATTACTTAATCCCAGGTCTTTGAAAAAAATGCAGTGAACTATCAGTGTTTTCTCAACATCATGAGGAAAATAGACAATTTTCATGCCATGTTTCTTTCAAATTCTGAGTCAGAAGATATAACTAATAGGTAATGCTATTACCCCCCCCACACACACACACAATCACTCCAGAAAGATCTTCTTTCTCGTGGTTCGTATCTTCAGGGTATATCCAGGATTGCTGTTTCCTGTGGCTTGCTTCAGTTCTTGTGGATAGTGCAAGTGAATAAGCGGACAAGGCAGATTATGGGTGCTGGGTATGTGCTGAATATTGTCTGTTGTCCTTTAAACCCATTTTTACTATTCCCATTTCTGAGTCTATTGTTGAGCTGGCATTTTCACTGGATGAGCTCTCCCATGCCCGGACTTCATTGCTACAGGAATTATATTATATATATACACTCCAGCACTTTATACACTGTAGATATTCACACTGCAGTTGTAGATTGCAGGGGAAGTGAATTGTGTGTCAAGGTGTACCTGATTTTCAAAAGTGCTAGAACAACTGTAAAACACCATAGATGTTTTTCTTGCTAAGTAAATTACTGTATAGCAATTAAGTTTTGCTGCCATTAATAATCTGCAATAATTTTGCTGCAATTAATAATATTGTCTTCATAAATCTTTGTAATCTTGGTAAATAAACCAGTTTGTAGCCTGTTCCTGGCAGTTCACCTCACAAAAGTGGGCCAACTTTTTGTCAAAATATTTACTCAACAAAAACTGAATCAAAAAGCTGTTGTCTCCCCCTCAAGGGCTATAATTCCAGGAGAAGGATTAGGAGTCTGTAGAAAAATTCTGAATGTCGTCACCAAACTACAAGCTCTAGCATCCATTTAGAGAATTTCATTCATAAGCCATGAAACTAACAGATGTTTGCAGTGTAGGCATAGCCTTTATTTACAATGCTGAACAAGATATCTCATTTTTAAAAAGTGACCCCAATAAATACTTTACTTAGAGGAAACAAGATATCCTATTTACTAAGAAATTCTTCAATTCCTTTGCTTCTAGCTGAGTGCTGAAGTACTAAATTGAAAAGTAGAAAAGTTGACTGTATGATAAAAATGCCTTTAGGCCTGCTTTGTTCCAATGCCAGCATAGCCTCCAGAGACTCACAAACATATTTATCTTGTTTCAGGTAACATCTCTTAAGACCCACTTTTAGCATCAGCCTTCATGCAATCCACACTAACACAATGGGACACATCAACAAGGAACAGTCTAGGAAGGGAAATATGAATGGAAAGGTTGCCCACAACAAGCTCATGCAGCTGATATTTACAATGCCATTACAGCCACCACTTAGGCAGTACAATCCGCCACTGGAAGCAAGAATTGTCTGTCAAAAGAATAAGAGAGTAATCCAACAAATAACTTAACCTGAAAGCAATGACAGGAATCAGAAGGCGTTTAAGAGAGGGAGAAGAGGAATGGATAGAAGGAATGGGAGGAGGGATCAGGATTCACAGAAGGAGATAGTGGAAGTTGCTAGGATTGCTAAGACAAGGAAGACAAAAAGAGGGTTTGAGGAATAATGAATGAAGGAAAGGTGATCAGACTCAAGAGAAGATGCTCCTATTAGAACGGAGATTTTTCAAAGTTGCCCCAAGAAATCAAGAGTTCTAGTGTAGTTATCCTGCAATGAGGCTTGGGCACAGTCACAAGCTTTCATGGAGGAGTGAAAGACAGGAAAACCACCCCAGTCAGAATCCTAAATTTATTTTCCATTTCAGTGTAAACAGGTAAGCACATGGTCTCTGGGGTGATGTGTCCTAGCATAATTCATGTAAACAGCATACTACTATGCAGTCTCCCTGATCCTGCAAAAGGTCTTGTGAATGTCCTTTTCTTACCCCACCCCCAAAAGTCTTAGATGCCTACATGGGTGTATAATGTTTGGACAGCTACAGCTAGGTGGTCAGGCAACCACTTCAAAGTAAGATCTCAAACAGTACTCAGGTGTTATTAAAAAGTTGACAAGAGATTAGGATTTTCAACATGTCCCTTTCTGACTAGAAACTTCTACTGTTGCATTTCATGATCAGCTCTTTCAAAAATCTTGGTTATCAAGGTGGCCCCCATTTTACGGAGTTCTTCTAAAGAAATTATCTCTCTTTTGTCCATGGAAATAATCCAAAGATTGAACAGGATTACCTTGACAAGATTTAACAAGACAATTTACTCCAAGAAAAATGATTTTATTTGGGAAAGTTTCTTGTGATTAATTTTAAATGCATTTGATTTCAAACAAAACTGATTAACATCCAAATGCAGGCCTTTTAAAATCCTGGTCTTAGTGTCTTATACCTACTGCATATGGTCACATTGACTCTAGCAGCAAATAAAATAATGTGTGAGTTTGCTGGATTCATGCTCTAATCTATTCTTCCCCCTTTCTTGGTTACCACTCTTGTTTCAGCAAGGTGATTCCTTTATGTGCGTAATGTATGATCCCTAAGGTAAGGTAAAGGTAAAGATTCCCCTTGACAAATTTTTGTCCAGTCGTATTCGACTGTAGGGGGCGGTGCTCATCCCTAAGGAAGTCCCAAATAATGCGAGAAGTATTTTAACATACCGGGCATTATTTGTTTTTAGACATTCCCTTGAAACACTCAGAGTAGACCTTGGGTCTAGATGGGCGGGATAGAAATCAAATCAAATCAAATAATAAACAAACAAACAAACTACCAAAAAGGCCCTCTGTTAGCTCACCTAGACTGACCTAGACCACTCACTTTGCAAGGAGTTGATTAAACATCAATATACAAATAAACAAAACAAATGGACCAGGAAAGGAGAGAGGAAGAAAAGACAGAAAAAACAGGAAGGGAGGGATGTAAGGGCTAGGTTTGCAAACCAAAGATATAATATAATGGAACACAAAAAGTAACATGAACAATAGCTTAGGGTGAGAAGGGGATCTTTTGTGGGAACCATTTGGTCCAGCCTCTTTATATTTTTCCAATCCGAAGCTGCTTAGGAAGCAGGCAGTGTTCTAGCGTGGCAGAGAAAAAAGCCCTGTGATAGACGTCACTGGGCAAAAACCATTCCTGCTTTTGACAGTAATCAAAGTAACAGGCACCAAGACAAAGAGACAGAACATTTGCCTGGCTATTCCAAGTCTACATTCTTCAGTTGCACTTAAATTGAACATTTTTAGTTAGTACTTAGATCTTCTCTTTCATTCTTTTGCCCACTGAATGATTTGCATCAAGGTAGATGGGTTAATGTGGCTGTCAGTCTAGTGGACAGACTCTTAAGAATTCCCAAATGAGATGTGAGGGACACCCTCTTCTCAAAGAAGGAAGGGTGGAAGTGAAGAATGATCAGCTGTCTCTTGATGTCTAAATCCTTGGAATAGTTCTTCAAAATGCCTCCTCGAACAGATTGATCTCTGGGCTGTTGATTTCTAAAACTCTGGCACTGGCTGATTAGATGTTTTTGGTCTACACAGAAGCACAGCATGTTTTGTAGTTGGTGTTCATTATTCAGTATACAAGTGCAATGAAATCACGAATTGGTCATGAATGCTACCGGGGAACAATCTTTGTCTAAAGCCATTTCTGTCGCTATAGCTAACTGGAAATACATGCATTAGCAGTGCGCTGAGCACAAAAAAGCACATAAAGACATTTTAAATCCACCACTATCTAGTGTTTTCTACTCTTTATATGGACACACAATACAGCATATGCATGGACTATTCCACCTTTGGTATATATTTTTAATATACTCTGGTGTATGGCATAGCATTCATGCATGTATATACAGAAAGCATAATTTATATATGCAAATATTATCATCCAGGCAATATTAAATGCACAGAATAAGCAAACATTTGAAATATGGTTGCCATGGAGAGCAAGATAATTCTCTGCAGGCACCATAAGGCAAAACCATCTCCACTTCATACTAGATTTGCCAAATATATATTACAGCCCAAGAGCATACACTTAGAAAGGATACAGAGATTACAGGACATCTGGAGTCTTCTGGATATCAGTCTATTGCCTATAGGTCACTTTATTGCACTTCTTGGCAGGGATCCCTGAGGTTCACCAAACTTAACCAGTTTTGTGCCTGGAATAGCTACAAATCCTTCAGTTCAAGGATAACATCTGCTCTTATGTCTTTGAAAAGGAAATTGAAGTTGAGTGATGGCTGCAGTGAATCAGAATGTCTGTTCAGATATGCAAGAATTCATACCTCAGCTTTCCACCAAACAATGCCTTCCATAGGTGTTAGAATGCCACTCCTCTCATTCCGAGCCAGTATGGCCAATGAAGTTGCAGTCTAACACATTTGGAGAGTATTAAGTTGGTGAAGGCGGTTGTAGTTTCTCTGGAATACTGGGAGACCTCTGTTGCTTTGACATGAAAGCCACCCCCATTTGCCAGTTTTACAGCTGTCCTGTCTGAAACATTTTTAGTCCTCACATCCCTTTAGTGCTGGTTGCCCTTGTTACACTTACATCGATCTGGCTCAAGATGACATCAATGATGCTGCCAATTACTATGAGGAAATCAAAAACATTCCAAGGATCCCCAAAGTAGCCCTGGGAAAGAAAATGAGAAAGTGAACAAACAAGAGAGACTAGGGTGGAAAGTAACACAAGGTAGGGAGTGGCTTTTTGGCACAATCCAAGAACTGATGCTGAGATGTTTGGTTTGTACAAATTATTTGGACTGGTTTGGTTTGTCTAAATCTATTTGGATTGAAAATTGGTATGCAACCATCTGCCTGCTCCATGCTCCAGCAGTTTCCATTGATGAGCCCCACCCCATGTTTATTAATTTACCGTATATTTAACATAAATATATTTCTTTTTGTCCAAGACCATAGGCCTTTCAAGCCATGTACAATATAAAACTGCCAGTAAAAGCATATTTAATTTAAACATTTTAAAAATACTGTAAACCTAATTTTTCATTAAAATGGAATTTCAGGTGCCTAGTGAGATATTTGTTTTTATCAATTCAACTTGGGGAGTGGAACTGGTAAAATCACTCCTTAAATACCTCAGTAACCTTGAAAGCCCTATGAGGGTCACTACAAGTCGATTCTGACTTGACATCACAGAACACACACACACACACACACACACACACACACACACACACACACACACACAAGAGGAAGTACCACAAAACCTTATTCCAATGAACACAGGAATGTTTTACTATAAGCAGAATGTCAGAATCACTTCTTGCCTGAGATTCCTTTTCATAACTCACCTTAGCCTTGAAAGCTATAAGTTTAACGATCATCTCCACAGTGAACAGGATGGTGAAAACCACATTGAGGACATCTGAGACCTGATTCATCGTCTCTGATTGATTATAATGCTGTGGAGATTATTGAAAAATAGGTGTTTGACAGAGCATTGGCTTCCCTTAATCCACAGTAAGAGGAGAAATTACTCCCTCTATAGATCAAGATTGGGGTAGCAGAGCAAGATACAGAACCTAGATTTGTGGGAAATGGGTGTGCTGAGTTAAATCCAAAACTGATCATTTTGCTTTGTCCTTACCCAACAGTCCCCTCCCTCAGTAGCAATGTCTTCCATTGCTTATTTGCATTTCTATACTTGGGAACTCTGGAACAGCAGCTGTCAGACTAGGTCACTTATACAAAGTATTACATAACATACACCTCTTGTGTGAAAGACATGCCCATACTATTCTTCTTCCACAGACAGGCTTGCCTGGTGAATCCCACCACCACTACCATTTCACAGCTGGACAGGAGTTATACTCATCCATACCTGCATGCCCAAGCAGACGGTATTCAGCATAATCAGGAAGAACATGAGGTACTCAAAGTAAGAGGAGGTCACCAGATACCATATCTGGTACTGGTAAGGGTTTTTAGGAATGTAGCATCTCAGAGGCCGTGCTTTCAGTGCATACTGGACACACTGGCGCTGGAATGAAGGGAAAGAACAGGTATGACAGGGAAGAAAGAAGGCAAGCAATAATATTCATACTCAAGATATACCAAATGCAGCAATGATACTTAGTCTCCCTCAACGAGACATTACTTTTTATTGATTTCTTGGCAAATGTTTCATATGGCCTCTTCATAAACTTGCTTTCCACAAAACAGGACAAGAGGTTTGTTGGGAATCACTGACTACTATTTATCGTTCAACAGAGTTCTCCTTGTAGCAGCAAGTTGGAACAAATGAAGGGCAATAAGCATCAACAGAAGCATGCATAGAGCTGTTGACACTCTGTCTGAAGAAAAGATGAGCTAATTTGTACATGCTGAATTACACTTGGTTTCTCTGATTAAGACTCCCCACACAAATACACAACTTTGCAAAGTCAGTGTGGAGTCCAAAAGATTTCCAGAGTGAGAGCTTTAACTACTCCTAACCCGTAGCTTCCAGATTTAAAATTCCAAAATAATCCTTTGTCGACTAGAACATTGACTTAGAAGATGTTTCTCCAGTTCATCTTGTACAACCCTCCCTATTCACCAAAGGCACTATACCTGGTTCTTGTCCAATTCACAGTCTTTGTACTCTGTCTCACCCTGCTCCTGGAAGGTAACGATAACAAAGCCTACAAAGATGTTCATCATGAAAAAGGCTATGAGGATGAGATAGATGATGAAGAAGATAGCAATGCCCATGCGATAGTTGTATATGGGGCCCATGTTCTCAGTGTGGGTATCAATTGCTCGATACAGCAGCCTGAAAGTGATAGCATAACATCGAGAATAATAAGCAAAGGGAAGAACGCTTGAGAAAAGAGGGCTGTGAAAGTACTTTAGGCACCACCACGTGCAGACATGGATGGGTTCTCAAGTCACCAGTGTCCATGCTTTCTATGTCAGGCTGCCCTTTCTCACAGGGTTTTCCAAATGTATAGCTGAATAAAGGCACAGCTGTAACTCATGTTCTTCACAAGTTCCAGGCATTATTTCTCCCTTCAAAACAGCACCTTCAAAACAGTATCTTTTTTGCAGCTTGTCATATCTCAGTATTTTGGTGCTGAAGAAAAGTAAACTTCGTTTATCCCAACAACCTCAACTTGTTAGCAAATCCAAATGCTTACATGCATGTCATATGTAGCTTTTGTGTAGATTGCACAGAACATCATCAGTGATGTCTGGGTAAGTTTCCCTCTTCTGTTGTTTTGGATGTACTGGCTGGCTAATGTGTAAAGCAACTTTGGTATATCATCAACCAATCTCTCTAAACATTCAGAAAAGATTGTCTCGTATCTTTGCCTTATATTGGGTTCTGCACTCACTTAGGCCATCCCTCAAAGGTGGATACAGTGAAGAGAGACATCATGGCTGAGAAAACATTGTCAAAGTGGAACTCATTTTGGAGCCACATCCTCTGATTCAGTACAATCTGGGTTGGATCAGCATCAACATATGTAATGAAGTATCCCCTGGAATGAGAAACTCAGGTTATTTATGGTGAAGGAGATAGTGTCTTTCACAAATTTGTAATACAGTACAGTGCAACCCTATGTATATCTACATGGAAGTAAGATCCATAGGCACTTATTCCTAGGTAAGAATGTAGGATTGAGCCTTAATCATCTTAAATCAAAGATTTTGCCCCCATTCAGTTGCTTATTGTTGATTAACACAACATAGGTTTACAGTTATCTTTGCGTATGATACTTTGCTGTTGGATATCATACAAGAAGCAGTAGAAATGTACATTTTGCTGTTCAAAATTAGAAAAATGATTAATGAAATGCTACTGAATTTTCCCTCATGGGCCTTTAGTGATAGCTTAGAGTAAAGGAGGACCTCCGAGATATCCACTGCCTCCTTCAAAAGAGTTGTGGACCCAAGAACAACTGATTCACAGAACCTCCCATGCTTCAGGATTCAGCTTCAGTTAATTGGCTTCATTTGGTACATTAGTGCCTCCAGCTCCTGGTCCAGCACTGCATCTTCTCCTGATTCAATCGGAATGGAAAATTATTCAGTTTCTCTCCCATAGAGCTTCGTATACTGTTGTTGGCACATTAATGGGATAGCACTTCAAAACTCTAGATCAGTGGTTCTTAACCTTTGTTACTTGGATGCTTTTGAACTGCAACTCCCAGAAACCCCAGCCAGCACAGTTGGTGGTGAAGGCTTCTGGGAGTTGCAGTCCAAAACTCCTGAGTAACCCAAGGTTAAGAACCAGTGCTCTAGATGACAACTTTCCAAAACTCCTGAGTAACCCAAGGTTACTCTAGATGACAACTTCCAGCAGTTGCTCTAGATGACAACTTCCAGCAGCTGCATAGACAATACCCCACAATGGAGGACAGAATGAAACCTTCATGCCAAAGGTCCAGAAGTGATCTTTCTATGCTATTCTCTTGCAGAGACCCTGGACTGGAATCCACCATAACAGTGTGCTCCTCATTCACAGTCTGTGAGCATCTTCATAGGAATACTGTGCTCAAGACTATCAAAAGTGACTCAGAAATAGGAAAGAATACAAAAGGTAAAATCTATCCTCTGCCTCTGATATAGGCCATCAACCAGAGTGAACACAGTTGTTTCAGTATCTCATCCATAGCTGAAACCACATTAAAATTGGTTTAACTTACCCTATCAAGCTTTCTAATAAGAACTGTCAATGTTTTGGGCTGATTGTTTATTATTACTTATTGTTATTAAGGGATTCCCAGTGTAGTGTAGTGGACAGAGTGACAGACTAGGACTCTGGAGAGCAGGGTTTGAATCTCCATTTGGCCATGGAAACACATGGGAGAGGGGGTGGAACTGGTAAAACCATTTCTTAAATATCTCACTTACCGTGAAAACTCTATTAGGGTTACTAGAAGTTGGTTCTGACTTGACAGCCCCGTCCCCTGCCACACTTACTGTGATTAAAAATGGGCTTCGGTTTGTGTCTGAAGTTTTTGAGGGAGACGTCTGGTTTTGCTTTGAGGTTTACTATATTTTAAAATCCAAACCTTGAGGCAAAACCAGAAGTGAACCACACTACCTCATCTTCCAGAATCATATATACAAATCAATTGGCCCTGGGTTTCAAAATACAAGGGTGGTTATGCACAGAGTCACCATTGTGAGTTTAGTGGGCAGTGTATGAAGTCTTCAACACTTGATTTTTTCCCCCACCAGCTACTGAAACTGACAAATGCTTGCTACTCTGCAGCATATGGAAGAAATTATGATTTTATGTTGTACATTCATGATTCTCACCCCACAAATAGCTGTAGCCAGTGAAAACCGATAATGTGAAGGCATGGAGTTTGGTATCAATATGACACAGCACATTATGGCCTCATATGTAACATATGTTCTACTACTGTGGTTCCAAAACTTGGAGTCATAAATATTTTTGATCACTGGCTGTGGCTAGGGCTTCTGGAAGTTACAGTCTAGGAAAATTTGGATTCGAGGTTTGGGAATCCTTTTTCTAGTAGAAGTGATACAAAAGATGGGGAAAGCTAAATATGTGGTGTCCATTTTCAACTATGCATGAAATCATATATAAAGGAATCAAATATTTAGGACAGTATCTGATTTGGCTCTTGTTTTTCTACCATAAACTATGCTGTTCTGAGTAAGAATACAATCATATGTAACCAAAGAATGGCCTACCAGCATTCAGATTCAGTTATCTTGGTCGTATCCGTACAGTAGAAAAACTTGCCCTATATTTAAAAAGAAATAAAAATATTTATTTATTTTATTGTTTAGGATGGGGCTGTTTTGTTTTGCTGCTTATTTACAGTTCCAACAAATCTGACAGGCCTGAGAAACAAATGTCTCCATCTACACAAAGACCAAGTTACAGATCCCCACTGTTGGAGGCAAAGAATAGGATCTTTGCTTTTGCTGCTGAAATGCAGAAAGAGTACTGGGGAGAGCTAAGATCTTGTCATTTTTATTTACACATTGGCTGGAGAAGCTTTCTCATTACAATGGCTTTATTGTGTCAACTCCCTGAATATATGCATTTGCAGACCTTTAATCAACTGTCCTTGAGTTTCCTCAAGTCAATTCTTCTCATATATATGAGCCTCCAGTTTTTCAGGGAGCATACCTGCCTGCCTGCCTGTGTGGAGATCTCCTTCACTGCAACTGTGAAATATAACCATATATATTAGGATTTAATGATTATATAAAGATAGCCATCTCCCAGAATCTATCCTTTCCTACAAAGTTGGAAGTCTTAAAGAGAAAGGCTTTTGTCTGGTTCCTGGCAGAATCTACTCTTCAATCTCTTTAAGATGTTGTGCAAAACATTCTGGTGGAGGGGAAACCCTTGGAGGAGAGTATAGTATCCTAATGCTGGAATTAGGCTCTTGAGCCTCTAGTCTATGGGGTTTGGCAGTCTCCAGTCTTTGGGTTTCTCTCTCTGCCCTGATTCCATTCTACCCATTGGCTCTGTGTCTAGGTCGTGACATGCACATCAATGGAGTCATTACCTTGCACATGTCAAGTTCTGTGGCATTACACATGTTGTACACTGGTTGAAATCCTATTTGCAGATCAGTCATCTGAGCAAATAACCATTGCCATCTTGTGTAGAACAAGACAGAATAAAGGTTCATTCTAAATAAGATTTTTACCTTGAAGAGCTGAACACCAATGCAGGCAAACATGAACTGCAGCAAGAAAGTGACAAGTACAATATTGCCAATGGTCTTGATAGCCACAAATACACACTGGACTACATGCTAGAAAGAAAGGGGGAGGAAGAGAGAAGTTTGATTATATCTGTCTGCTATCCCCAAGTCCATTAATCAGCAAAATATAGGTATTTCATTAATACAATCTTAGGTCTGTTTCTAGCTCAGAGATGAGAAGGCATCACCATTTCCTTGCCTTGCCTTACTCTAGGGTTACCCAGTGGAGGGTAACATTCCCATAACTACACTCACCTTTAGTCCCTTTGCTCTGTTAATGGCTCTCAGTGGCCGCAGTACTCTGAGAACCCTTAGGATTTTCACCACTGAGATGGCACTGGACCTGTTGCATAAAACAAAGTTACTTCAGTGTCACAAACCTTTCTGCTTATGATACACAGTTTTAGTCCTGCCCATAAAGGCACCTGGGGTGAAGGACGGCACAATCTTTAGATTATTTTAAAGGTGGAATGGAGCTCTCAATACACTGAAAGGAGGGGGATGCAAATCTGGTGATCCTTCAGGACTGTCTAATTATCCAGATTGCTTGAGAGAACAATTCAGAAAAGCACAGATACTTTCACTGGCCTGACTCTTCAAGTTGTGACTGAATAAGGTAAGTCGAACAGTTCTGCAGCTCAGCAAGGATGATTTATTTCAGAGCGCGGAATTTGCATCAAATACATGTTTATAGATGTAGTAAGACAAAGTGGGATTAGACAAAGTGCCTAATCCAAATGCCACTCTTTGTGCTTTTAACCTAAATTAGGACATTTCAGATGGAGGTCTTCTAGCTAGTCAGAAGATATTGTGCAGGAATTTTATCTTTTTATCTTTAGTTTTGCCTCCAACATATATTCATCAAGTAGGGGAAGGATGATATTTATTTGGCTCTCAGTATTTTGACTGAGGGCAATGTTGGCTGTGAATATTACTTGCTGCTTCAGGAGCTTTAGCCCTCCACACCCTTTATTATAGGTCCCAGTCTTCAAAGCTCAAGGTGATCTTAACTTCTGTGTGTAATAACCTCTCACAATATTTTACTAAATAAATAATCTTCTTAATATTTCAAAGTAATCCTTACTGTATAACAAAACAGACACGCATCTTATTTGACAATGTTCTACAGTCCCTCAGTTACTCCTGAGAAGAGACCCCTCTTGCTTCCCTCAGAGACAATAGTACTATAGTCTGATCTGTGCTCCACTAGAAATCCAGGAAGGACAACCTGCTGGAATCCATCTCCTTCTGTTGCATGCTTACTCAAGTCCCATGGAGATGAGGGATACAGCAACCACAAGCAAGTCCAGGATGTTGAAATAGTTGCGGCAGAAGGACCCCTTGTGAAGGAAAGCACCATAAGCAGTCATCTGTGGGGAGCAAGAACATTCGATCAGGCAGTGATGGATCCAGTTCCATGTTTCTCGGTTTCAAAAAGAGTGCATCTCCAGAGGGCAAGTTCAGAAGGCCACTTGGACATGCCAGAAATGCTGGCTGTGGGGCATAGGAGAGATGATTTTCTTACTAGCTCACCATAAGTACAGATTATCAGTAATCCTGGCCTAAATCCAACTGACAGTTCCAAATGGAGTAGACCAGTTAAATCAATTGTTGAATGCTGAGTCAGCAAATATTTAAATTCCATTAATTCAATGGGTCTGCCCTAGTTGGGACTACCAGTTGGATTCAGATCTCTGGATTTGTAGATTACTGGCTATTTGCATTGAAACTATTAAAATGTCTGATTCAACACAAGCACAAAAAGCGAGTGTTAGCACAGTAACTCCCATTTGATATTCCAAAATATTTATGTGAGTTGTTTCAGTGTCTCTATCTGTGAGCCTTTCTACTTGATACTCTTCACTTATTACTGCAAGATTGTATTTTTCTATATTTACTGCTGGATCAGTTTCTATGTTCTTCTGTCTTTGACTCAATGAAGGACACAATGACCTTTAATTTGCAAAACGTAAGCTGGGCTGTTAATGGCAGAACCTTTTGAATGTCATTGTTTCATCAGGTCACCACAGATCAGAAGCAACTTAGTAATACATAGCAAAAAATTTACAATAATTTATTCCAGTATGTCCTTGTATCTCATTGTGTACTTTTATATCAGAAAGCAACATGAAATGAACAACTTTTTAAACTGAACTTGCTTACTTATTTGCTTACGGGGCTGTTAATGGCAGAACCTTTTGAATGTCATTGTTTCATCAGGTCACCACAGATCAGAAGCAACTTAGTAATACATAGCAAAAAATTTACAATAATTTATTCCAGTATGTCCTTGTATCTCATTGTGTACTTTTATATCAGAAAGCAACATGAAATGAACAACTTTTTAAACTGAACTTGCTTACTTACTTGCTTACAGTACCTGCAATATTGGGGGAAAATATTCTCAAGACAGCTTACAAAACTAGTTAGGAATTCAATATTTTAGTACTATGTTGATGGATGAGTTTCAGTTTCTGTAGCCTGATGATGCTGACAAAACCCTTGGAGAGGTAAAGATTACTACATGCTCTTCCTGGCTTATAAAAGCTGCCAGAAAGGGACTGGTCAAGTGGTAGGAGGAGGAGTGAATGCCTCCCTGCAGCCAGGTAGGATACCAGCATGCTTAAAGGAGGCAATAGTAAGACCATTGTTGAAAAAGCCCTCCTTAGATTCTTCAGTACTGAATAAACTACCAAACTGTCTATAATATTCCATTCTTAGGCGAAGTATTGGAGCGGGCCATGGCTTCTCAGATCCAGGAGTTCCTGGATAAGACTAGATCCATTTCAGTCTGGCTTCGTGCCTGACAATGGAATGAAGATCCATTTCAGTCTGGCTTCAGGCCTGACAATGGAATGGAGACTACTCTGGATGCCTTGGTGGATGACCTCCACCAGTAATTGGACAAAGGAAGTGTGTCTCTGTTGGTTCTACTGGACCTCTCAGCAGCTTTTAGTCATGGTGTCCTGGTACGTTTCTCTGGGATGGGACTTGGAGGCACTGTTTTACAGTGGTTCGGGTCCTTGTTGAACTCAGAAAATGGTGCTAGGGCACTCTTGTTCGACACCCTGGTCATTGACCTGTGGGCTCAGAAAGTGGTGCTAGGGCACTCCTGTTAGACACCCTGGTCACTGGCCTGTGGGGTCTCTCAAGGTTCTGTTTTGTTTCCTATGTTATTTAACATCTACATGAAACTACTGGGAGAGACTGTCCACAGAATTGAAGTTCAATCTTACCAGTGTATGGATGACACCCAGCTCTATCTCTCCTTGCCATCTAAATCTGAGGAAGCTGTTTTGGCTCTGGATCAATGCCTTGTGTCAGTAATGGACTGAATGAGGGTGAATAAACTGAAACTTAACCCAGACAAGTCAGAGATGCTCCTGGTCATTCAAAAGACAGAGCAAGGAACAGAGATGCAACCTGTGCTAGATGGGATTACACTTCCTCTGTCAACCCAGGTGTGCAGCCTGTGGGTACTCTTGGATACGTGTCTGAATCTGAATGTCCAGATTACAACTGTGGCCAGAAGTGCACTTGCACAATTAAAACTAGTGTGTCAACTGCACCCATTCTTGGAGAGATCTGATATGGCCACGGTGACACATGCCTTAGTTACATCCTGGCTGGATTACCATAACACTTTGTAAGGCTGCCTATGGAAAGAGTCAGGAAACATCAAATGCCAGATTGCTAATTGGGGCTGGACACAGGGATCACACAGTTTCTCTGTTACAGCAGCTTCACTGGCTGCCAATCCATTCCTGGGCAGAATTCAAAGTCGTGGTTCTAACCTATAAAGTCCAAAACAGCTTAGACTTAAGCTATCTCAAGGACCACATCTCCCTTTATGAGCCTGCTCGAGTGTCATCAGGAGAGACTTTCCTCTTGGCTTCGCCACCTTCATAGGTGTGTCTGGTGGGGACATCGGAGAGAGCCTTCTCTTTTGCTGCCCTCAGACTCTAGAACTCCCTCCCTAGGAAGCTAGACTAGCATCTTTTAATTTTTGCGAGCCATCTTGGGTCCTTTTAAAGGAAAAAGGTGAGTTTAAAACATTTTAAATAAGTAAAAAAATAAATACTAGATGTTATGAATTCCCATGTTTAATAAGTAAGTTACTAATTGTTACTTATTGTGCATCAATGTTAAAAGATCAAGGTAAAAAGTTTGTAAATTATGAAAATCTCCTTCATTCTCACTGAAATGTCTACACAGGAATGTCTGGTTCAATGCTTTTAAAACACAAAACTTCATCAACCAAAGGTTTTCTGAAGAAGATGTGGCAGAAAACCCCTGCTGCAACGTCACCCATTGGGATTCTTACTTGGGAAGTACAGTCCACTTTCATCTTTTTGTTACAAAGGGTTTGTCTTCAAATTCCCAGAAGATATGAGAACTCAGTGCGCTAAATTCCTGAAACTAGTCCTGAAGAAGATATTTAAATGAGCACATTTAGTCTTGTACAAGAGACACTCTGGGAGAATGTGTGTTACTTACCTTTAAAACGATTTCCACTGTGAACACAGTAGTGAAGCCAGTGTCAAAATGACCTAAAATCTGGAGACAATCCCCACAAAGAAACAGGAAATTATTTTTTTGAGAAAAGTTAACTGCAACTCTCACAAGCATTTCTGATGGAGCAAGAAGCACAGGAGAAACACAATTATCTGGATCTTGATTAATTTTAAATCTTAATTAATCACATTCATGATATAGTCTTCATGGAACCTCAACAAAGTCAAGATAAACCTATAATAGAAATATTCTAATTTCTAAAACCAACTCTCTCTGAGCAGAACAAACAATGATATGAAAGTCAGAATCCAGCTGGATAAACAGAATATAAGAGTAAATTTGCAAGTGTCCTCACCCCCACCCCAGTGAGTTCTCTTTCATGTGACCAGTTATACACTGGATAAACAAAGAGTGTAAGAATAGTCTTGCAAGGGCCTTCCTGCTTGAAATCAGGTGTGTATCCAGTAACACAATGGATTGCATGGAAGACAGCCCACTACAGAGAAAAGCTGCTGTGTGATGTTATCATGCACACAGTTTTAATGTACTTAATAGGATTCTAGCCTGAGATACAGAATATTGTATTATAAAGGAATTATGAGATTGAGAGTATGCAAAATTTTCTGCCTACAAATTAATTTTATAATTACATTTAACCATATATTTATTATCACATTTGTACAAGTAGCTTCAAACACTGTTCTCGGTGCCTTCTTCTCAAGAAGGAGGAGATCTAGTAATGCCTGGGCAGGGCTTTTTAGGTGGTGGTGCCACTAATGCTGTGGAATGGCTCCTAGATAAACTTGTTTCTAAAGTAGTAGCTGTGTTGATCTGTTTCATATGCTGACAAAATTAAAGTAAAGGGACAAAAAAGAGGACAGAAGCAAAGTACCAAACTTTGTGGAAACTTAGAAACTTCTCCCTTTTTTCCGCTAAAGAAGCCTTGTGAAAACGGTTTTAGTTAATTTTTAGACATTTCCTATAGCCTTTTTATTTATTCAAATATTTTAAATCAGTTTATTGATAGCAGTGAATGCATTTAACCTTCTCCTGCTTTTATGATTATCTTTACTTCTAGGTTTTCTTTTTGCACACTTTGCAGAAATACAATCAATACATTTTATAATTAAATTTATTCTAAAAACAAACTATGCTTGTGGATAATTATAAAATTAACAGGAGACATGTACTATTTTTAAAATGATATACAGGAAACCTTCTCTTCTTGCATATGTTTGAGATTAATCTAGTATAAGAAGCAGCAATATAAGAAGCAACAGTAGTTTCCTGATAGTTCAGGGATGGTCCACACATGCAAGCCAGTTACTTGTTTTCATCTTTTGTCCATTTTTTCATTGCTTTTGGCATGTTATCCCAATTTATATTAAGCAGTTTTCACCAAGAAACAGGCAGATATAATCAATGAAGATTTTCTATGTCCATGGGTCAGTTATTAAGGGTCATCTGCCATTACCATGTCAGTAACACAATCATTGCTATCTAGTCACCTTGTTCCTGAAGGACTCTGCCCGTATTGGATCTTCAGCTGCGAGTGAGATACTGCTGAGCAGGATGAAGAGAAGGATGAAGTTGGTGAACCAAGTGGCATTGACAATTCGGTGGCATAGTACACGGATCCTGAACGGAGGGAGACAAAGAGAGCTAATTTTATTGTCACATCTGAAGACATTCATAGTCACAGCACTAGTTAATCTCTGCAACTATTCAAGGAAGGAATTAAGACCAAGAGATAGGTCTGATGGTGACACTGCTGACTGAGGTCAGATAGATTTGGAAAGATAAGCACCTGTGTCCAACCACTCCCTGTTAGGTGTCTTTTGTGTGCTTAGAGTCCCTTCAGAAATGGACTTTGTGTCTACCATCTGGCCAGATGAGAAGTAGGGGAACAGGACCTACTTGTTGGTTGGGCTGAAGATGAAGAATGCGCTAGATTCAGGCATGGGCACAGCCTTCTCTTTCAATTGCAGCTCTGCCAGGGGGCGTGGTCTAGGACTCAGTGGGATTTCAGGCTCATCCTCCTCATCGTCACCTGCAGGATATATTGTTAGTAATTGAAAATCATCATTCTTGAAATAATTGAGTGTGATTGACAGAACTCACTTCCAGAACACGACAGAGCCAATGTGTCCAGAAGAAAGGTTAAAACTTTTCTGGTAGCCACCATTAGCTAGTGATACGGTATTCAGTACATCAAAAACCATATATGTTCTCACATTCGCCTCAGTTTCCAGAAAGACCTATGAATACATCAAAAACCATATATGTTCTCACATTCAGTTTCCAGAAAGACCTATAAACATATACTGTCATGGCACCTTGCATGTTTGAGTAAAAATTAAAAAACCCAGCCTTTTTTCTTCATTTGCTATTTGTTCTGGACTTTGTCATTTATCTATATTGTACCAGTAACAGGAAGCAACGCCTTTAGCATCAGCCTATTTTTTTAAATCCTATATAGAGATTTACATTCTGTATATTTAATAATTTTGTTTCCAAATTTAAGCTAATCAGTGTTAAACATGATTCTTCATTGAATGCATGTAGGCATTCAATGTGTCCAGATTTTGTTATTTGACTAGTCACCCAGGACTGGTGGGGGACACAAAGTTTCAGAGACAGATTTTAATTCTGCATCATCATGCCCCAAATGAAAATCTGATGACAAAAGTTGGAGCAGCAAACTAAACAAAAATGCCCTTACCTGGGAAGTCAGCAGAGGGATAAGGATCCTTGATTTCATTGACATTTGATTCAAATTCATCCACTTTCAACTGGAGAGATGAAAAAATTATGATGGAAAAAGTCAGAGTTATGTCTCTGCCCTCCAGAACCAACATGACTGTTGAAAAGCATTATGGATCAGAAAAGAAAAGGAGAGGGGTATTGAGTATAAAATAAAAAAGAATGGCACAAGGAGCTATTTTACACACAGCATATTTCTAATGTAAAAAGCCCCTATGCATGTGTGAAACTAACAGGCAGGTAGGCAGGAGTTAGTGAGGAGGAGGGCTCATATTGTCTAAGTGCAGGGGCTTAGGTTTATAACTACAATTCTCAGTGAGTCCATGAGCTACCCTATGGGAAATCTAACACCACTGTATGATGATTTCTTTATCTGCAGCATGCCTCTCCCATTGCATCCTGAAATGACATGGAGACAACAAACAGAATCAGACTGGCTTCCACTTTCCTTCCCTCTGCCTACTTTTAACCTCTCACCTGATGAAAAGATAATATTCTCAAAAACCTGCACACTTTTGTGTGTCTTTGTACACTTTTTTTGGTAGCTTTCTGGTTGGCCTATAAAAGTGCCACCTGAATGTGGAATTTGGAATTTATTTTCTGCCAGCATGATTATTCCTGTTTCTATCTGCAACATACTGCTTGGTACATGTGACAGAGTTATAGACCTGTATTCTGTTGCATGCCACTCTTTTAGGAAGCCATGGCCTTTGCAAAAAAATAAACATGTTATCATCACATATGTTTCTGAATCTGTATCTCCTAGATGCTGGTTTTAGACTGCATCTGTATAAACTGCAATGTTATAATGAATGCTGAGTCTAATGTAACATGAGCTGCCTTGGGAGGGTCAACCCTAAGTAGCAGCAGATGTAAATGATGGAATCAACATGCAAGCGAATAAAGAAATAAGTTTTCATGAAGAAACTGCGCAATGTATGAAACAGTAATTAAATGGCTTTGTCAAGTAGAGAACTGTAGGTCGCAAAAAGCATATGTATGGATTCCGAAGGGGCCTCAAAGAGCTTCCAGTCAACATGTTTGTATCTCCTATAAGATCCTAAGCATCTTCTCCCACAAGGAAGGCTCTTTAATTGGTCAAGAAAACATGTGTGACTGAGAGGCAAGAACACAACGGGTGTAAAAACCAATGGGAATGTGACCAGACACTTCAAGATGCTGTCCAACAGAGCTTTTCCAACTGGTTGAAGCATGACTTCAACTTTGTCCTCCAGGGTGATGTCTGGGAACCCTCAACTGCATGCACTTTGCTAGATATATCAAGGATAAAGTTGCTCACGTCTGTCACAACATGGGTGACACATGTTTCTCCTGTCCAGTTAATATGTCTCATATGCTGTTTTACTGCTGACTGGAGGCAGAATTGAGATTTGCAGAGAACACTACCTAGAAACCCTCAGTGTAGGTGATCACGGAACAAAGAAAGGCTAATGATGTGGGTGATCACATACAATTAGAAAAGCAATTAGCCTTTAGAGAAGTTGCAAAGAAGTGTTGACAACAGATGTCCGAACCAGCAGAGTCTAAAGGCAATGCCTTGAGAACTCTTTTTAGTAACTTAGCAAGGGGTTCATCGTATGTTGTGAGAATTTCAGATAGGATACTTGTTACCTAATCGCCACTAGGATTGGCCAGAGAAAGTCTTTGAACCTATGCCCTAACTCTAAGGGAAAAGGCAGAATGAGTAAGTTACCCCGCTCGCTGGCAGCTGCTGCTTCTCTGCCAGGAGATTTTGTTCTCATTGAAAACAGATAACAGCTAACGGCCTTGGGCAGAAGCTTCCCACACCTCAGAACATGGAGAACTAAGATGTATGTAACGGTATTGCTTATTTGTACAGAACACTTGCACAAGAGGCAGTGTGGTACAGTAGATAGAGTATAGGATGGGGTCTCAAGAGGCTTGGATTCAAGTCCCTGCTCAGACATGGAAACTAACAAGGGGTGGAGCCGGTAATGGCCAACCACACCCTGAAAATCTCACATACATTGAAATCTCTATTAGGGTTGCCACAAGTCGGAAGTAACTTGGTGGCATGAAACTATAACACAGAATGTTCATTTTTACTATTTTAATAATACACATTAAGCCATTTTGTGCAAGCCTTTGCCTTGAAAAACTGGGAATTAACAAGCAAATAAATATATAAATGAAACATGGGAGCAGTAGCTGCTTTGCTGACCTTGGCTGTGGTGGGCATTCCTTCTCCCTTGGCTTTCTGTTCAAGCTTCTTCGCCAACAACTGTTTTTCCTCTTCAGATTTCTCAGGATAACCTCTAGAGAGATAAGAACCAAGAAAGTAATAGGAGAAGGAAACCAAGAGAGAGGGAGGTATGTTAAAGGAAAAAGCTTACAGTTGGGCAAGGAACTTTTTCAGTTCTCATAAAGGCCCAGAATTCCTGTGGGGGCTGGTATATGATGATCCACAGAGGCAGAACTAACCTGGCCAGCTTCTTCCTTTTCTTTTCCTCAGCTTTGGCTTTCTGGGCAGAAGTCAATGTTTCTGCTTCAGCAAGATTATCAACAGCAATAGCTAAGAATACATTGAGCAGGATATCTGTGGTGTGGAGAAATGAGCTAAGGAATTTTGTAGTATGAGTTTGAGTAATATGGGACAGACAAATCAAAAGCTCTCGCCCTCTTTGATGGTTTCATCCTGATAATGAGGTACACCCTAATTTCAGCTTCTCATACCACATGATCTATCATATAAGTACAACATCAGAAGTGCATAAAATACACAGAATAGCAGGAATCTGGAAAAAATGGGAGATCTTTTCCTCATGCCAGAAAACCTGATGTGTAGATTGTATAACTGGTACTGATCCTCACATTCACAAACACAAATTGACACCTTTCTGCAGCTTGGAGATTTGCTGTGATAAAGACATGATTGTTTAGTGAGAAAAGCATTGGATGCTTATCTGATGCTCAATTTTTAAAATGTTTTATAAATCTTAATATATATTTAATTGTTTTTAAATATGATATTTATACAGTATAGCATTTTTAAATACGTTGTTTTATCTTT